AAAGTTTTCAAACTCTTTTATAGAATTGTGGAAAATATCCTTACTGCAAAGGAGGATGAGGAAAGACATCATCAGGCCGCAGAAAGACCTCCGGATTTACCAAACAACGTGTAGTTAAGTTCTTACAAATGTAGCCGAAGGCAAAATCTGAGAGTATTATTATAACTACCTATTGTAATAGCTATCGAATGGGAGATTGGCCCGTCGCAACTACGTGATTTTGTAATTGATTATTAATTATTATCAATAAACGATGGGCCCGGAAGAGAAGTACTGGCACCATGATTCCTCCTCCGGCTCTCGATACTAACGGAAAAAAAAGAAAAAAGTAAATTATAAAATAATAAACATTTTAATAATATAAAACATTTGATTAACTTAAATTGCCTCTTAAATATAAAAAAATTATAAATTGTCGAAGAAAGGCAATATATAGTTCGATTTAATGTAGCTGAGGATCCTTTTATTGGTATGATAAATTAAAAATGTATAATAGTTTATTTTTATTTTATCAATAAGTAATTAATTAAAGATACAACTAAGTATAATATTATATTTATAATTGTTGGTTTGACTGAAAGAGTTTGTCATTTGTCAAAAAATGTAGGTCAACTAAAACTCTCGTAAGTTTGTTAATAGACGAATTGAATCTCTAACTTCAACCACTATTTAAGAAATCAGCTATAAGTATTGAGCGTAAGGTAAATGCATACCTATGTAGTATATATAATCCATTTGTACTTATGATTTGGCTAATGATTAGTGCGAACTCAAATATAATATAAATTCTCATTGAATATATTTGTGATTATTATTATTATAACAATGGGTTATGAATGGTATAATTTATAATAATGCACATGTCATATGCCCACATGGTAAATATGTTTACAATTGTAATAAAATGAAATGCATCTCCATTATAGAGAGGAAATGTAAGAGAAATTATTTTAAATCATTATTTCGTACCTACATGTAATTCTATAAGAATAAAGCATTTATTAGGAACACAATAAATTGAACTAACAATTTATTATTACATTTAGGCTACTTCAACAATAGGTCTGTAATTTATATGAAAATAAATAATGAATACTTGTGATAGCTAAAATAGTCAATACGTATTGTTATATGTTTATATGTATGTAGACATATTATCATCATAATATTTGTACCGAAACGAACGTCAAGTAGTAAGTATGCTGTATGAGATTCCTATTTACATATAATATAGAAGAAATTCTATGTACTAAATTATAATAATCTTCCGTTTAAAAAATGCATTATATTATAGCCAATGGAAAATGGTTGATTACATTAAATTAATGTAATGTAATATCAAATTAATCCATGGCGGCATGTTCATAAAACGTAATACTTCTCCATAATTATCATAAATACTTTTGTTGTAATATTTTTTATTACGCGCTAGAGTCCGATTGAGGCACGATTTGCTTAGTAAATGAATAATTATAATGTTTAAGATGTCAATTTCGAAGAATTGAAAACTTAATACTAACCTTGATTAACCTTAATATCTATTACTTCAAGTTTTAAGTAGAGTAGATGGTTTAGAACAACTATTATAAGTGTTAGGTTTATTTTAAATCTTTCTCGTAATTTTTCAATTGTTCTTAAAAATAAATAAAACTATAAAATGTAATCGCTTGTTATATCGTGATGACATACATATCACATAAATACGTGATATATATTTGAGTACTAATTATGTGAGATGATATATTAAATGTAAATAATTATTTTATATCATCTTAGCTGAGTGTAATGACCTAACTTAGCTTTCAAATGTCTACTAATAATCTATAATATTCATAATAATTTATAATGGTTTTTTTTAAATTCAATTCAAATATGTAAAATAATTTTTTATAAGCATTGAATGTATTGGCATGCATACGGGAGCCCTACAGTATAAGTCTAGGAGTTTGAGGCCTGTATTTAACTGATGTTGCTCAAATTAAATGTAATTTATTCTAAAATATTTGGTAAAAAATAAATTATGTTACGTAATAGAATTTTTTTTTTCCAAATTTTCGTGCAAAACTTATGTAATATATCATCTACGATTGGTTACAAAAATATAAACCATAAATAAATGACGCTATCTAAAAATAATATACGATATTCAAGGAAAACATATTCATTGGGACTAATATTCTACAACATTGAAAAAAAAATTAAAGTTATTTTTATTTAATTATTTATACATTATAATTTATTAAATATAATTACACGATTTGTTAGGATATGTACCAAAAGTATTGTAAGCAATATAGGTCTACATAATTTGAACGTTAAATCGATGAACTGAATGATTAAATGGTACATAAATCTATTTTTACATACAATACGTATTTGTTAAAATAAATATATTCGTGTTTAAAAATTTAACGTAGAAGTACAATAAACTGTTTCTTTTATGTTTATAATAAATTTAAAATATCTAAAAATATCAAATAAATTTTTTTTTTATTATCTATAAAAATGTACATAATATAGTATAACCATAACTAGAGTCTGAATTTTAAAGGAATTTACTTACTTTCTATTAATTCTAACCAATACATGTTTCAGCATAAAAAGCTACAAAAACTATTCATTGAGTTAAAAATCAGTGTAACTGTACACTTAGGTGCCTATTAAATAAAATCTGCGACGCAAGTAATATGCACCACTGAATATAACGTATCAACGAACAATATGGATTTTAAGGCTGTTGTGAACACAAAATCGAAAAAAAATAAATACCGAAATTGAAAAAAATGAATATCGATATTCGAAATCAAAAGCGAAATCGCAAAAAATAAAAATCAATATTTGAAACCAAAATCGAAATTAAAAAAAACTAATATCAATAATCAAAATGGAAATTTTTTATTTCTATTTCAAGCCCTGATTAATTTTATCAAAAATTTATTGTATTACCACAATAAATTGTTTTGAATTATTTTGTACCCTATTTGTTAGTTTTTGAGTTCTGAAACTTAAAAATTGCAATACCAAACAATTTAGGAATATTAACTGTTTTCGTTATTTTCTATAGCCCTTCAAATACGAACATCGAGAAACACCCAATATTACATGTATACGAATTAGACAAGTATTCTTTACAAGCAACTATTTGATAATGATTCTCAATTAAGGATATAAGCCATGTAAGTTAAGAAACACAGATTATTAATCCATCGTTTTCAATCATCAAATATTTAGATGGTATATAAAACAATAAGTTTAAAATATTTATTTTTTATATTTGTATAACATTTTATGAGCATTGTCACATAAAAAAAACTTTAAAATAATCGATACACAATAGTTTAACTTTATTATGAATAATTATGATCATCACATTTTTCATAATTACTAGGTAGGCGTGCAATATATTAATTTAATAAAACCAATCTTACCTTTTTCATTATTTAATTACTTATAAAAAAAATATTATAAGTAATTTAGATGTTTAATTAGTACAATTTTAGTATTTAACAAATAAGTTTTAGAATAGGAACTCATTAGCAATAAAACACAATTAATTATTCAACAAATTAGTTGTAATATAAAATTTTAAATATGCCTATCCTTCTGTTTTATACTTTTACTACATAATTATTTTACATAGATATTTTGTTTTCTTTTAAATAGGTTTAACTTTCGTTTTTATGTGATATTTATCAGTTATTACTTAAAATATTACATTTACAATTTCACTAATTATAGAGTAATTATAATTTTTAATTAATAGACATTTATATGAAAATAAAACATTTTATAAAAATATAAAATAGGTATATAATAAATATAATTATGGTAATTTTGTTGTAAATATTTGCTAAATAAATTATAATATTATAATATTTGCTGTCGGTATGTGCATGGATGTAGAAAATCGAGACGAGTGGAGGTTTAGAACAAGGGTGGCCGACCCCAAATAGTTGGGAGAATGGTAAAGGAGAAGAAGAAGAATAAATTAAATATCCTAAAATAAAAATATGTTTCATGATTTGCATTATTTATTTTGCTTCCTACCATACTAAAGTTAATTTGGGTGTAATATAAAAACATAACACCTAATGCAAATTTATTAGAGAAAAGTAGGTTAATTTTTTTAAACAACATGGGCTGGATAGGTAAGTATTAATTAATCAGTGTTCTCGAAAATCACTATGAATAATATTTACTTACAAACTGTAGGTATTCATATTAAATAGCAGTAAATTTTTATGAAGATATACAATATATTCAACAGTAATATATAATTATAAATATTTTTTTTTTATTATTTACAAGTATATACACAATCTATACAAATTAATGGACAATTAGTTTATAAGATAAAAGGCCATACATAACATGAATAAGAAGCCACCCATTAGTAACATTTAGTTTAGCATATGTTTAAAATTGACAAGATATATTATTAATTTAAATGGTCACGACACAATTTTTTTTTAAGTTTGCGCTGTGGGTTTCCAGAAAGTGTGAAGGTAGGTATGTAATTTTTTTATTAATGGGTTGGAATGATTTTTTAGTTTGGCAAAAACCATTTGTAAAATAATTCCATTTCAGTTATAACAGGTTTAATACCTAAATCTTGATTCAGGGTTAAATTAGAGATATATAAAGGAGCGTTTGTGATATTTCTTAGAGTAATATTATAAATATGATTAATAACAGCTAAGTTGTAATTTTCATTCAAACTATTATTTTCTACTTATATTGTATATAAAAATGTAACAACCAAGTGTAAATATATAAATTGCAATAAAATGTAAAAACTATAATAATACAATTGGTTTACTTATTAGTCAATTTAGTTGATGATCATATTAACTCAATACCCTATAGCACATTTTCTTTTTATTATACTTGATAACTTAAACAAATACTTTTTATAGTATATAGAGTTATTTAGATAATAATAACTTTTCATCTATAACTTTAGGTAACTAGTTAACTGTAAATAAGAACAATAATAATAATTAAGAGCACAAACATGGAAATTACTTTTATTTAAAAATATATACATTATTTTACCGAAGTCCCAACAATGGTTGGCTTCTTCGATCATGACCACTGTCTCGATAATACTTATTTGTAAATATCATTAACAACTCTTCCCACTTGTACTTATTGTAAAAGCATTTCACAGATTGTACAACAAAAATAAAGAACAAAAAAAATATATATACATTATTTTATTTTTTTTATTACCATATCAATTAAAAATGCTTAAAAACTAAAATAGGTATTATGAACAACAGCAATGTTGAAAAATGTTGGATTTTCAACTCGCAGCACATTGTACACTGATATATATTTATATATATGGAAATATAATAATACATAATAGGGAGTCGATTAGGCCATAGCCTCAGACACTCGTACCCAGTCGAATGCAGCTAACAAGGGGTCCTCCCGTGTCGGAACACGGTCCCAATTCCAATACATCAATTGCCGAGTCACTTCGTCGTCAGCAGTCACTTTGACGGTCGCCTCAAAATTGTCCGGCTCGACTTTACTGCTGCACAAGATCCCGACGTAGCCATCCGGCATGTTGAGTTCGACGCCTGTCAACGGTTTACCGCGCAGCGACGCGTGCCACAAGGCGCCGTTCTCCTCGTCGGCCGTGGCGTCCGTGTACGGACGGAAATATCGGTCAACCGGAGCCGAGAAGGTTTGCTTGTCGGAGTCCGGCGACCGCGGATGTATCTTACACGGCAACAAGTGCAACGACTGCCGTGCCTGGACGACGGTCTGCTCGTCCAGTGGTCGTCGGCCGTCTCTTTTCTTGAACACGAGACTCATGTTGGCGAAGCGGGAACGGCTGACGGAACGAAATGGGTCTCGAATATCGGAAGGATCGTCAACACGTGACGCGTTGTGTACGCAACCGGTAGCGGTCGTTTTGTTTTGTTTTTTTAACCGTTGTCGCGCGGGACGGACTATCATAGATGATAAAGAATTTTATTAATTTGTTTTACTCGTTATGTATGCGAACAACGCGATGATAACTGGTGATAAGAACTTGATCGTTCGGTGATATAACACTGATCGCGGAATCCGGTGAACGCAATCGCGTCTCGTTTTCACGACACCATTACTCGGGCGTTGAACGCGTACGGGAATCGCTAATCGCTGATGAACACCGGGTCGGACGAGCCGTACGTAGGTACGCGGTGGCGTCCGATGCAATCGGTCGTTGATGGGCGACCTGACGGCGCGTAGGTGAGTGCATTATTGACTGTTTTCGTTGTCTTTTTGCGTTTGGTTGTAGATCATATTGTCGACCACTGATATACGTTTTTTTTGGTTTTTTACCGTTTCAATAACTTTCGATTGCGACCTGTTTGCAGTTGTCGAATGAACACCGCAGCTGTTGTTGCTGTCCGTAATTCCTGAGAACTTGACAACTTGGACAGCGACGGGATGGCGTACTACTACTATTACCAGCAACACCACAGTGAGTATCATCATTATTATTGTTATTTTCAATATTATTGTCTAGTACGTCACTATTAGATGAAATTAAAAGTTAAAGTTATCAACTATATGATATTCATTACTTTAAAATAGTTACTAAAGTATAATAATCTTTCTCATACTGATCCGCTGTGCTCAATGTGATATTCTCATACTGCATTTAATTCCTATACTTTGTACTCCTCAAGGTTACATATTTAAATTATGGATATTTTGCATCTACGACCAAGTAATTAGAGAAAACAATTTATATATTGTCCACTTAGGAAAGAATTAGATCTTCAATAAATTTTAGTTGCAATACATGTCTGAAAAATTGCATTTGATCTTGATAATAAATCCTTGTTGCACATAATTAACATATGACATGAATTTTAATGTATACGATTATTTATACCTTATTCGTTACCATCTAGATATGTAGTCACATAACCAAGATATATTTATAAGTTACATTTTCAGACTAATAAGTTTTGTTAAGCTTCTGTGTTTTATTGGGTAACTTGAGGATGATTCTCAATTTATTTATTCGTTCATTCATTAAAATAGTTATTGATAATACTTTATCAGTATTAATATAAATTATTAATTTATAAATATTTGTTTTTTGTATTTTAACAGCTTCACCTGATCCAATTTCTCCAGGAACAACAACAGCAGAATTAACACCACCACCAGTATTACTATTATCACCACAACAACAAAAACAACAACAATTGAATTTACCATTGCTCACACCAATTTTGCCATCAGTTACTACATCAATGCCAATGACAACTACTGCAATAACATCAGAACAAAATCAACAACTACCTACACCAAATACATTTATTAGGCATTGTGATGATATTGGTTTGTTTCATGATCTTCAAAATATTGTGGTCATGGGTTCATTAACAGGATCATCAGATGATACAGCTAGTACAACTGTACCTATTACTACTAATGTTGCAATGGTCACCACATCAACATCAACTGAACAACCAATTACTTCAAATGTATTTGGCCCATCATCAACCGCTATTGTGACTACCTTAATGATGGCTAATCCATTTGATGAAACTTTCAAACAAGCAGTATTACAACAACAAAAAAGCAATACCAATTCTTCAGAAATTATTTTCAACAACAATAATAACAATGATGGTGATTTAAACACTCCATTTATAGCTACTACCACTGCTGTGGATATATCCAATAACAGCAAAAATAATAGTTGTAAGCATTAATATTAAAATTAATTAAAAGCTGAGTTCAAAATGAATGCAAATGGTATTTAGACAAAAAATATATAAATTATTATTGCAGTCATTTTTTTTCCACTGGAAGCTATATAAAATATTTTGAGTAATTTAATTTAAAATATAATGAATGTTTTTTTTTATAAGGATCAACTTACTCTTCAAAACCAACCATAGTAAATAATGTATTATAATTTATGATGTAATTAAGTTGGTAATGTAAACATCTTGTTAATCATGTTAATTTTAATAAAATTTATAAAGTTTAAATAATAATGATAAACAATATAATCAGTTTTTAAAACTAGATTTACAGCATAGTCAATGATGTATAAGTCATATTTCTTTTCATTAAACATACAACTATTATACAATGATGTTAAAGTAAATGGCTAGTAGTTATGGGCACTTGCAAAAAATTTATCAAGGGAGGGCATAATTAAATCAAACACTAAAAAGTATATTAAAATTTTATTTTTAGCAAATAATAAAATATGTCAGAATTATACACATTTTAGTCGTTATTAAATAAAAACTGAAGTCTTTGCAGTTATTCAATTACAAACCTTGTTATTAACTGTTTAATTAATTTTCTCAGGGGGGGGATAACCTGTCTTCCCCTCCACAGGGACCCATGCTTGAAGGAAATATTCATAATTTTTAAGTAACCAGAATACATCTAATATATGATTTGTGATCCTGTGACTTCATAAGAAGACTTATAATGATTTAATGATTTCTATCAAAAAATTATGATTTTTTCAAGATTTAATTCATTTTTCAATAAAAATGTTTCTACAATTATTTTTCAACTGTAGTTGTTGTATACATTTGGTACACATGGTATACATTTTTACAGATTTGATACATAATAAAAACAAAATAATCATTGACATGTTAAAAATGTACATTTAAAAAATATTTAAATTTACTTGTATATACTTAATAACACATTTTGTTTTATTTAATTATAAATTAGTTATATTAAACATAGTATAACTGTGAATAGTATTTACTTATTCTTTATACATATCATGGTAGTGTTTATATTTTTAGTTTAAAAAATTATTTGTACAGCTTTGACGATGAAAACTACTTCTATGGATATGATGACTACTACTGCAGAAGCAGCTTCAACTGAAATTGAATCTCTGATGACAACTTCAACTACCGTTTCTAATTTACATCAGCAAAATCTGTTTATTTCAACAACAGCATCAGAAGTAAGTAAAAAGTTGAACTATTATATATTTATAAATATAATTTTTTATTTTAACATTGTATCACTTACTATTCATGTTACTCCTACATTCAAGACGACAGCTGGAACGGTATTGGTAATGATGGTAGAGCAACAGCAGCAACAAAGACAACGGCATAACTTAATTGTCCCTGTACAGTCCCAAAACCATCAACAGCCCTTCATCATTCCAACAACTACAACTACCACTAGTGTTATTGACACGACTACAATGACTAGTCATCTTCAAGACTATTATAGAAATGAAGGAGGTAATGAAAATGGTGATATAGTTATTAATGTTGAAAGTGAAACAACTAATATTAAACAGGTATTACTTTTTTATATTTTATCTACTTATTTTTTATATTGACCAACTGTTTGTACCATTGTGTGTACTTTTATATGTTTTTCCATAATAATATTGATAATATGTGTTTTTATGATTTATGTGTAAGTGAAGACATTGAAACAGAATCTATTAGGAAAACGACTAAAGGAAAAACAAAAGCCACTCTTTTTTACTAAAAGACATCAGGAGCTCAGGCAGCTACAACTGCAGAATAATGATATTAATGTCACGACAAATACCATTAGCAATGATAATGGAATCAATAATGATAGTCAAGAAGATATCAATGATCGAAAACAGAAACAAAAACAAGAACTATTAGAGAGGAACAGGTAAATTATTTATTACTATTTTTTTTTCTATTAATTCTTGATTTCACTTATTAATTTTAACTTTTATGAAGAAAAACAAAAATTAAGAATTTACAATATACTATTTTATTTTATTTTATTTTTTTTTTGTATAAATAAATTAAAATTTTTAAAAATAATATATCATTTATATTTTTATCAAGGTATTAGCGCTTTTAATTTTTTACATTATTTAGGACATTAAACAAAATGAACGGTGATATTTTACCATACATTTTTCTATTCCTTTAGAATTTACTAAGAAAAAATTAAACAAATTAACACAATTTTTATAATTTTATTAATTTTCAATAATTATCTAATCATTCTCCGTGCATGATTGAAATTGACACATTACTTCTCTTTTAGTAGCTGCTATTGTAGTTCAAGTTTTTGATTAATATATAAGAATAAAACCAATTATATTTAATATGTGTATAAATTAATATTACAGGTCAGCAGCAAGAAGGTGTAGAATTAAACGAAAGCAAAGGTGGGAACTCCTCTCTGAAGAGAACCGAAGGCTCAAAATTGAAAACGGACGATTACGCGATGCTATTGCAAAACTTGTTAGTCCTGGCTGTAGTGGTTTACAACAATAGGTTCAACATCAAATTAACCAGCACTCAATATAAGCTTTAAACAGTGATGATAATAGATGTTTGAAAAATTGTTGATGGTTTCTATTTATTAATAACCTAGTAATATTTCATACAATGTTGATGAATATGACTGATGGTATATACTGGTATTAAAATATTCTTTTCAACTGATTAGATATGTTATTAAAAATAATTGTTCTCAATTATAGTATAATCAAATATGATATACTTTACCTATACGAAATTTCTTTTGTGTTCAATTTTATTACCAATAAATTTAACTATAATTTAAAATAATATATATGATAATAAAATACAGTGGTCAACGCTTATTGGACTTATATTTAATTAACTGATTTGTTTATTGGAGTCTAGACGAGTTTTTTTGATATATATATATACACATAGAAAAGAATGTATCTATTAGAATCACTGCACCAGTTAATGGAGTAATTTCTTATTTCTACACATTAATATATATCAATACAAATCTTTTAGATTTACATTTTATTATTAAGCTGGAATTTTAATAATGTTTAAAATTTCATTTTATTTTCAGTCAAAATATTTGTATCATATTCCATTTTCTTATTGAACATTGTTCACTTTATTGAATAATTAACTTAATAGACTCAAAATGGTCTAGTCTCAAACTAAGTCTAATGAGTGGTGACCACTTAAGTGTAAAATAATATGCAAGTATGGATTTTCTTTATAAAAATGAATAATAAGGTGAATATAATGACATACTATTTAAATTTTTTTATTTAATTTATCACATTTTTTTGGTGTTTTTATTATTTAATTATTTATATATAATAGTATCATCAAGGAAGAGAAAATGTTTTATTTTTTTTGTTATTGTTTTATGTTTTAAAAATTTAAGTTATGATTATTAAGAGATATTTTTTTTTTTTTTTGTTTGAGGAATATTTCTTTAGACTTGTTAAAGCAATCTTATTATATTTATTAATATTCTTAAAAAGAATTGTTTACTTTTCTAAATTTAATAACTCTGTACAATAAACAGCGTAATAATGTTCTAATTAGCAATAGGTTTTATTATAAACTATTCAATTTATAACCAATTAGGGAATATTGGGAAATAATTAAATATTGTATATCAATGGTGATAGTTATTACATTTTTCACTTTGTAATATGTTTTAAATTTTCTTAATGAATGTAATTATATATTCTAAAAAAGTTATAAAACAATCACATCTATATTTTACAATGTGTATTGTAAACATGGTAATAATTAAATTTTTTAGTTATTTCTGTGCTTACAATATTTTATAAAAACTAAAATTAGTATGGCTGTTTGTTATCAATTTATTTATATAACATTTAAATTAAATACATTTTTTTATATTACAAAAATAATAAAATGTAGTAATATTTTCAAAATGAACATGATTTAAAAGTATAGAAAAGTTAATTTAATTTGTGAAACAATACTTTTTATAGCTTATTTAATATAAGTCTTAAGAAAATATGAATGAATATCTGTTTATGAAATTCTTTAATTAATTTGAATTTTACATATATTTTAAGCAAGAAATTTATTATAATTTAAAAAAATCGAAGTACATCAATAAAATAGTAAATATAAAATATTTTACTTATATTATCAATAGTTATTAAAATATAATTGTTTTGTTATAATTAGTTTGATGATGCAATAATTTGATCTTTTGTTTTCTATGAATTTTATTTAAGCCATCCAGATATTGTTTTTATTATTTTTTTTTAATTGTTTTAAATACATATTGTTTTAATTTGACTTTCTAAGCTCATTTATAGTTTTAATTTTGTTGTATTTTAAATTGTGTTTATATTTTGCATTCTTGTCATATTGATAAATGTTATGTCATTTAAGTGTAATTTAAAAATAAATCATGTTCAATATTATTATAATCATTGAAGTACACACAGGACGTGTCGAGTGTATCTAGGCACTATCTGAACATTTTATTCTATAGTTACTGTGGTTAATAAATAATACATTTATATTATTTTTTCTTTGTCCATTTAATTCTGTTGTTATAGTTCTAATAAGAAAATTATCAACAAAATGGTTACATATACTTTTTTGGAGTGTGTGATATTTAATTACTCAATATAATTATGAAAACTAATTTAAAGACAGTGTATAGAATTAATTAATATTTTGTATTATCTAGTAATGAAAGGTAAAAAAAAATTGTTTGGAGGGATTGCTTCTTTCCCTTTCATTTTATTAGTCAATTTTTCTCAGGCGCACTCCTATGATTATAATATATTACTTGTAAGGTGCTCACCATGTTATTTGAAAGTCAAGTTAAATTTTTCAGTGTATAGAACAACATTTTTATGATTGAAATTACTTTGATGGCATTTATAGTTATTCTTATTTTCCCTGTAGTGTGACAAATTTATTTAATGATACAGTGATAAATGTTTTTAAAGATTTAATATTTTTTGGCTTACATTTATTATTTACTATATAAAATACATAACATGTATAAAAAAAGCCTAATTTAATTATGAAGCTAACCAAAGATATTTTATGAAGTGAGATTGATTTAAGATTTATTTTCCTTTTTTTTTAAAAAAAATGTTTATATTAAAAAATTTATAAATATTACCTTATATTTTTTAAGTAATTAACATTTCTAATAAATTTTTTTTTTTACATACTCCATCGGCATCAATCATTATTATCATTATTTATAACAGTATTTTATCAATGTTATAGTATATAGTTTGTATGTTGTAATGAACATAGAAAATTGATTTAACAATAAACAGACTACCTCTGTACATGTAAGTTACATGTAAATATAGAATATTCTTACTTAGTTAACTACAATAGTAGAATGTGCGACTAATGTAAGTGTAATATTGGTTCACATTATAGTCATGCTTATAAAAAATAACCAACTATAACTAATCGTTAACTTAACTTGTAAATGAATTGTTTATTAATTCGTTTTATTTTTTTGTACACAAATTTTACACAGACAACAATGATCTTGTGCATACTATGTTACTTATCACCGGCTTGATTTCAATTTAAGGAATTGATGATGTATGAAGTTAAATTAAATAACAGACTAACACTTTTTACAATATTTTTATTAAATAATTCAAAATATTAAATAAATCTGATACAAAGTGACATAAAGTTGCTCGCAGTTCCGTGACTAGAACTCATCTAAATTAGGGTATAATAATTTCCATCTTTTTTCTATATGGTTCAGTTGACGTCATAGGACGCTGCACCTGGTGTTTTGGCTATATCCAGAAATAGGTTTATGACTTTATAGTCCAGTGTACAATTGTCCTTTGCTGATTTTGATTACTGACGTCTTCTTTTATTAATTAGTATACTAGAAATTCCCAGTATTTCTAATTATACTATTATTTCATGTGCATTTACATTGATATCATGTAGGTACAAAAAATGTATATTATAAATAGATATAATTCAGACAATGATGCATATACCAGTATTTCCTGGTAAAAGCTTCCTGTACCAGGGACGCCCGGATGGGGGGCCAGTGGGAGCCATTGCCCCCCCCTGAGATTTTCGCGTCACTTACAAAATTGGAAGTTATTTTACATAAAGCTGATCTTGGGTATTCAGTGACTATTTGACAATCCTTGTATCTAACAAGTATCTAACATTTTTTTAATCAACAAATAATGATTCAATTAATTTATTTGCTTCAAACAAAAGGAGATTGTCATTACTTTTTGAATAAAATAATAAAATATGATGCGAATTCAATCAAATAAAGTTGTTTTTTGCTTAAACTTTATTATATTTTTTCTTATAAATATTAAAACTAATAACTAATAATGTAATTTTATATAAACTTAAATGAGTTTTGATATTTAAAAAATTATTATTGATAGTAATACAAAATATGAGTAGATGAAATATGTAGCAGTAAATCTTCCTATAAGTATTTAGGTACTTACAATTTTTTTGCCCCCCTGAGCTACATTTCTGTGGGCGTCCCTGTCCTGTACGTTTATATTTAAAAATAATAAGGATACAATGTCACATAAAGTATGACCAATCATTAAAAATACAGATGATTGTATACTAATTAACTATTACATCAATTTAAGCGTAATATTACATGTGGTATAAGAGAGCCCATAACAGTAATTTCATTATAAGTGTTGAGAACCAGATGTTGAACTTGCAGAATGAATGTACGATTTTGATAGTAAAGACGTTACATATTTATTAGACTCAAAATACAATAGTTTTACATAAAAAGTGTGTAATGCTTAGACGAAAGATTCTAATGTACACTCCTTCATGCGATAGAGGGCTTACAGCAATAAACTAATAAGTCATAACAGTCTAGCTGTGCACATTCAAACTGGGTCGAATGAATCTCCTGTGAGTAATGAGTGTGTGTATTCCTGGCCTGTGAGTGAATAATCCAACTGCCTCTTGTCTTCACTTACCTCGGTATATATGCTGGATTTTCTACTTTATAGATCATCATTCTTTGGCGTGGGCCTGTCCTGGACATCACGTCGCTCCTGTTGTCCTTGATTTCATATTTTATAATTGACAATTCGTATTCACCTGAGGGTAACATTGCGAAAGTTTGACAATATATCTATAGCTCATTACATTATGAAAGTATTATTATTGATTCAAAGGGGCAGCTCATCTTGTAGTTATTAATAATTGATTTGATTTAGCATTGGACATTTCGAAAACATATTTAAGTCTAAGGTTAATCATTATACAAGCGTGACACTTTTCATATATTATAATACTTAGTAAAGGCCCGTTTTGTAATATAATCTTCTATTTTTACTTATTTGTGTTAAGCACTTTGAGTTTTATAATTTAACAATTTAACATTGATCAACCATGAATTAAAGAAACACTGAAACTAGAATGAATTGAAGAAATACAGAATATCGAAAATTTTACACGATAAAGAACTTAGGACCTGTTGCGTGCCAACCGATTGATCGAATCTCAGTTATTCACTCAGTCTGTTAAACGCTTGATTTAAGTGGATGTTGTAAATAATTAATACCTACTAGCTGTGATTAAAGTGATTTATTTAAACTATTCAAAATTATTCTAAGTACAAATAATTAAATAAACTGTTGAAATTCTAAGTTTTAATTTTTAAACTGTAATGAAATATTCTAAGTCCTAATAATTTAATAACTGTTCAAATTCTAAGTCCAAACCATAACATACACTAAGGTGCTCAGTTTCGCATAGCAAGAACTCATCTGCTTTGCCCTTGTTTTCAGGTCCCTTATATGCCCGATGGACGCAAGGGTGTGTGTAAATTGCAAATGTGTGTGTAAGTGAAAAACGATAATTAAAAATGATAATCCTTATTGATTCTGTGTGTGTGCTATTTCCCGACCAACCCATAACTAATGGCGCAGAGATCCAGGATGTGGTCAACTGTTATTTCAATTATCTATTTCTTATTTAATTTCCTGTATAAAATGATTATGTGAACTAGTTATGATTCAATAAGTAATCATGTAAAATTTTAATTTAATTTATCCACGGGTGTGGTTTTGATATTCATAAGAAATCATTAATTATAATTGTTTCATCTCTGTTTTTTCGTATGCGTATGCACTCATGCAAATTTTATTATTTAACTACGCAGGACGCGACAGACAATTGTCAAGAAATACGACATGACAATTGATAAGGAACTCGTTCTTGCGCTGTCTCTAAACAACGTTACGGCGGTTTACTGTTATCGCCGCCGCCGCCGCCGCCGCCAGCAGATACACGTTATCAACATTCAACAGTTGTCGCTAAGGATTGATAACGCGTGCTAAGCCCAAACGCTAATTATGCATTATTTGCAAGATCGACGTGCAATGTCCTTGTCACGCAGTTAATAGTGTTTCAATCGTCACATTCATTGTTCGTCGCGCATTGATTTTATATCGTCAGCTTCGTACTGTCGTTCCGGTTAATATGCAACAGTTTGACCACAAACAGTGACGGTGACAGTTTAGAAGAGTGTACGAACGGTGACGACTACAACGACGTGCCCTGACTGACTTCCTGTTGCTAATAGTTACAGTTGCACGATGAGCACATTGTTTGATCGCAACGATACAACACTGTCCATACCGTCGTACCGGCCAGTCATCATAGTGCATGGTTTGATGACGGGAGATGTAAGCACAATGGAACATTTGGCCGCTCGAATTACTGAGGTGAGTTACAGAAACAAAGCAGTAACATCACTTGTGTTAACTTATGGCATTTTTTTTTTATCCTTGATTTAATTGTAATACATTTTCCATATTAAATCAGTTTCTGTATCATTAGGTTCTTGTTTTAGACGCATTTCTATGTCATAGACAATAATCAACTATTGATGGAGACAATCTTTCAAAAATTTGCTAGGCTTTTATGATACTCAATAGTTTAATTTTACATTTGCAATATTATAATTTTTAAAGTAACATGCTATTCAAACAATGTTCAATTTTAAGTAATAATTTCATATAAGTTAGACATTTATTTTATAAATTCGCCCTTTTTTTATTAACAAATATTGTTATGATGATTTAATTACTTTTTATACTCAGCATTGGTATAACATTTTGTTATTTCAATACTACTTAAGACCACATACAATTATTTGTTGATTTTAATTTATGTATTTTTTTTACTTATATCATACTCGTATATAAGATAATTTATTTAATGCAAGACATTTGCTGATATATATACATACCAAATTTCCCATTTAAAATGATTATACACTAGTCTTGTGTATTATAAATCAATACCATATTATATGCCTTATAATATCTGTATAATATTTTTTAATAAGCAATTAAATTTCAAATATTTTTAATTGTTTGAAAATTGTACGCTATATAAAATAAAAATTGTATATTCCCATGTAAAATAAAATGAAAGTGATAATTAGAATTTTACTGTGTCAATTGATTGTTCTTTTAAGTAAATAAAAAATTCTTTTATGTAAATAAAAAAATTGAGTAAAATAACAAAAAAAAATGTCTGTTCTAACTATTTACTAACTGTATTAACCTAATCAAAAGAATTTTAAAAAATACAAATACATTTATAGGATGAATTAGGTGAATGTTTGCAATTATATTTAGGACAAAAAAAATCTTAAGAAATAATTTTGAATTGAGTTAATAGAACTCTCAATCAAACTACTGAATTATAATATATCATTGGCGATACAAAATAGTATAATGATTTTAAAGTTAAGCATTTATTAAAATCATTACTAATTGAACTAATAAAACCTTAGATTGAAGATGTTTTATTTTGCTCATGAACATTGAACATAATGACGAATTAAAGTTCTGAATCAAAATCAATGTTTTAAATATAATTGACATTAACTAATGCAAAATTATTTAAATTAGACATATTTGTATATTATAGTAAACTATTTCCATAAAAAAAAAGTTGTTATATTATGTACAAAAAAATTAAAACACATCATCATAATTATATTAGTTATATTATTTAAGTACATTATTAAAATTATAGTCATGATTTCAATGTAACTCAATAGAATTGTGATCTATTAACAGTCTGAAATATTTTAATATTATTAGAATAAGCACAATATAGTTTAATTGCTTAACTTAAAATTAATGCCTAAATATTTAATAAAAGAGGATATAAATAAAAAATAATAATCAAATTAATTACACTTCATAATCAAATGCTGATTTTTATATTTACTTTGAATAAATATTGTCATGTCATGTTTCATTCTAAGGTTATGTAATTTATTCATAACCAAGGCTCGGAACTTTATGCACCAAAAAATACTAAAATATGCGCATAAATATGCATTAAAAAACATCAAAATATGCGGTATAATATGCAATAAAAAATTGGAAAATAATTTCTTAAAAAATAAATAACTGACTACCGACTAGTGTACACTGTACAATGAAGTCACTTGCATGTAGATGTATGCAGTATTATAACTAGGCTTAGGGACCTCTAGCATTTGCATACTTTTTTTAATTATTGCTAAATATAGCAGAGTGCGAAATAAATTCGTTTCTTGGTGCCATGATATCAGACCTAAAATTTGAAAGTGCATATTTTTGTATATTTGATAGATTTTGCAGTAGGGTGCATATTTTAGAATTGTTATGCTTATTTTGCATATTTTGACAAATTTTTCAAATTTTATCATTATTAAAATTAAAAACTATTGATATATATACATATTTCAACCGATCGAAAAAAAATGTACTAAGAGGACTTAATACTTCCAGTAATATGCTATCTGCAAATTACCTCTCATATTTCGTTATAATTGTTGTGCAATTTTTGTCAATAATAGTATAAACCTGTATCGATTGTATAACCCCCTGAATATCGACCGGATGTCGATATAGAATAATAGATTATTTTTTAGTGTTCAGTCGATTATTATCGGTCGTTGTTTTTGCGTTTCGCAACTAAACAACATCGATACATAAGTAAAACGTTGTATGCGTATATTTTGTAACATTGTGTAATGTTTTTACAAAGTGTACAACAGTCTACAAGTAGCTGACTACAAAATGTTGTTTCAGAGTTTAAAGATACATTTACATCCGATGAACACGTTTTCTTTTGTGTACTATGTGGTCTTTTTTTTCTTTTTTTTTTAATGCATATAACTGCATATTATAATGCATATTTTAATGATTTTAGAAGCATATTTGTGTATTTTTTAGAGCTTTAAGTCCCTAAGCCTAATTATAACGAACAGAAATAATATTGTGTATAAGCTGATAACCTTAAGATTAAACATAATTGTTTACGAATTCCCTATGGTTATACAATTTGTTTATATCATGTTACAAAATATTAATACAGTGTTAAATTTGTATAAAAATAAATATGAGTTGGCGGTGGTCACTATGAGGCGCGAGGCCCTGGGCAAATGCCCCGTTTGCCCTGCCCTCGGGACGGCACTGGTCACTATTACGAATTCTCGGTACTATAAAGATTATAATATTATTGTTAAGTGCATTGGGAGTCGGAGCAATAATAATAGTAGCCGTTGATGAATTAATTTATTTTGTCAAACGATATAAAACTTAGAATTTTGGTTGTCATATATCTAATATTTTATTATTTAACTATAAATTTTTTTAAAAAAATTTGTTAAATCCATGAAATATGCATATAAATGTTCTTAAAACCAAAATATGCGAATTGGTACAAAAAGTAACAAAATATGCAAAATTATGCAACAAAAATTTTTATATCTGAAGTATACATACTATGAATCGAATTTGTATCGAATCAGAATTTCAATATGCACTTTCCAGACAAATATGCAAATGCTTAAAGTTCCGAGCATTATTATAATATTGTAGTTTATTTTTTAGTGAACAATTAAAAGTACTGGTTTTGGCTGAAGCCTAACTTAGGTTACACAAAAAAAAACATAAGTATATTATAAGTAAAATTATTAAACTAAAACATAAACCATATTCCCAAGAAGTTACACACTACGCATTTTTAGTAATATTTTGGATTGTATTAATAATTTTTAATGCATACATTTTTCTATGTATTTATTGAATATTAATCAATATTATTATTTTTAATGATTGTCTATCTTTTTGAGTTATAGCTACACCCAGGCACCAAAACATATGTCATAAACAGATTCTGTGGCTTGGCTAGTTTGGAACCACTGTGGCGGCAAACAAGGCTATTAGCTGATGATTTATTACAAATATGTTCATTGCATCCAGAAGGTGTTCATATTATAGGTAAATATTTACACATTATTAATACATTTATACTAAACAAGAAATATAAATATTCTTTATAAAATATATTTTGATGTAATCATAATAGGATATTCCCAAGGTGGACTCATTTCCAGAGGCATGATTGAAATGTATGGTGCTATCCACAATGTCAAGACATTTGTGTCACTTAGCTCACCACAAGGAGGCCAATTTGGAGGTATGGTAATTTATTTTCAAATTTAATTCTAGTTTAAATATATTTATACCATACACACACATATACATATATGTGTATTTTTGTATATAAAATTATACAAGTCGAACAGTATTAATGAAAATAATAATTTTCTTATTTATAATTTAAAACGAGGATATAATATTTTTTACATTTTTTTGGTACTATGAGCATTAGAGTAGTCCTTATTTTTAAATTTAAAAATGTTGGTGCTGGAATCACTCATTTTTTTAAGTGTTATGAGAAAATAATTTGTGGTGAATTTAGTTATAACGAATTACCTCCTTCCCGTGCCACAAGAGGAATGAAAAATGATCAAAGAAGGTAGTTTTATGGTTTTTTCGACTTACTCGAAAACTATTAATCCTTTCGTAAAAATGTATAAAACATTTATTATATTGTTAATTACTGCCTATTAAAAAATATGCATTAAAATTTCTTGTAAATCTATTTTTTCGTACAAAATACAAATTATTTAATCTATTAGGTAAAATTGATCTGACTACAGTTATTTTAATATATTTGTTAATTATTTAAATATAAAATTAAATATCTTAAATAAATGTATGTAACATTCGATTTTCTAAAAAAAAGATTATTTGTAGGTTTTTATTTGATTGACTAGTTTAGTGTTATACTTGGATTTATGTAATTTATGTAAGCTAAAACAAAACAAACAATTACCGCTGTCATAATCTCTTAACCAAATATCAAATAACCAAATTCCCCACAAATTATTTACTCATAACACTTAAAAAATCGGGAGGATCCTGCATGAAAAAAAAAAAAAATTTTTTCTCCTATAACTAAGGATCACTCTAATAAGCATTGGTTATAGAATAAACGTATTATATAATCAATGTTATAAGTATCTACCCATACTATTCTATATTTCATACTATACGAATAATGATCTGTGCATTCAAAGGCACTCTAAATGATATCCATACAGCTAATAGGGATATAGTCGATTAAATACGAAATCTGGATATTAATTTATAAACTATAGTTTCAAATATATTCCAGCTATAATAGTTACCACCTGTCTCACTAAGCTCATTATTATTTTTATATTTATTTTTACTTCATTTATATTGTGTTATTTTATATCAGTCTGTTAATATTTACATGTTTAAATTTGATGTTCTACTCTGTCTTATGAAATATAAATATATATGTGTAAGTTAATTGAGTAATTATTTATTTTTTAATATTCCACTATAAAACGCGACAAAAAAAACACAGACGTTCTTTCCCCCACTGTCAGGCATTCCTAGTCCAAACCGGCTAACATCGTCCCATACGCCACGATATTAATGCTTAATATAGGTCATATGGTGATTTGTGACTTTTTTTCGTTAAACATAAATTAAATCCGATAAAATAATTAGATAAAAATACGTTTTTATGTGTGTAAGTTATAATAGGAAATGTATAATCAAAATTTTAGTATTGTAGTGGGTTAAAATAGTCAAAAGAACATTTAGGTGTTTGCTGATTAGGTAGGAAAGTGTTTTTAGGAAGACATTGCAGATCCAATCCACCTGAACCATTTAAAAGTCTTTTAAATCATGCTTATCAAAATTCAAAACATTTTTTTGACATAATTTGTGTGTATAGTTTGGTTTTTCAAATTACATCATTTAGTGCACCAGAAATTTGGCATAGAAACCTAATGCTAATATTTAAAGTTACCATTTGACTGGTTCTCTATTATTCAATAATCTAGAAAAACCAATGTTTTTACAAAGATATTTCATGGGTGGCTCAGATAATAAAATAAAAAGGCGTTTGTAAAGAGATAAGCTAATATTGTATGATTTACAAAACAATGATTATAATTTTTTTTTATTTGCCTGTATATAGTGTTCTAACTTAACATAATGATAAGCATTTACTTTTATGGGTAAATTCGGGTAATTCAGTTATTATATATATATATATATATATTTGAGTTAAAATGTTATATTGACTAAAGTTTTATAAAAATTTTACATAAGTAGTCTTATGATAAAAAAGAAAACTATTTATTCTAAAACAAAATACTTCAAGAAAGTTTCATTTGTTAATTATTTAACTAGAAATGTATGTATAATGTTGACTTAATAAATTTAAGTTGGAAACTCCTTCATAAAATGCAAATCAATACAAATAACAAATTTTTATTGTTTTCAAAGTATTTTATGACTTCATACTTATAATAATAACCTCATGTATAATCAATATGAATATTAGTAGAATAATTAGTTATCATTTTTTAAATACAGTTAAAAATTGAAGTATCACAAAATTTTACTATAATTAATTACTAATTTTATGTTCTACAGCAGAATTTTTTTTGATACTGTTATAACATTAATATTTCTGCATACTCATTATTAAATTTGTGAGATAAACATTTGAATTTGATAAGGTATTATTTTTGTCTAAAAAATATTTATCTTAAAGGTGATCAACAATTTTGAAGAGATGATTACAAGTGTTTTTTTGAATTTTAATTTGAACTTTCAAAAAAAATAGATTAGGTGAACAACTTATATATTCTTACAGTGACATAGCCAAGAGGTGGGCTATAGCTCTCCCCTTATGAGCCTTATTTATATGCATGTACTATACTAGTTTACTGCTATTTAGTATTTAAGTATTTAATAACTTTGGTATCAAATAAATGTTTACGAATAATGGGTTTTGTCTTTAGTACATAAGCATTAATATGCTTATGTTGTGATTATTTCTGTTTTTTGTTATCATGAAGGTTGTGGGGATTTTCATCTAACACTATCATTTTATAATCACTATAGTTTTTTTATTATGTTGCAGCTATGCTACCACAGCTGACCACTATTATTTTATTATTATTATAAATTATATTTTAATAAATATTATTAAAAATATTTTAAAATGCTGGAAATACATTTATAAATTTGGTGGTGGAAAGGAGAAGGTTACTCTCTAATCTTCTTTTACCTAATCCACCCAAAAAAGTGTTCAGCCCCTCCTATTTAAAAATTTTAGCTACGCCACTGTCTTTTTAATTGTCTCATTATGAATCTGGATTGGCTAAATAATCATTCTCATCATAACAAGATGTTTATTCAACTAAATAAGGTTTTTTTTTTTATTACTTTTACTAACTAAGGTTATATTTGAATTATTTTGATTCATTATATTTGAAAGCCTGAGAAAAAATTTTATATTATTATTATTGTATAGTCGAGAGTTAGAAAACTTAAATTTACTATATATATAATGTTCTTTGTTTTAAAAATGCTCAATCGTGCCTCTTAAAATATAGGAATTTTATATAGCACCTCTTTGTCCTTCTTGTATTTTTTGAGAAAATACTACTGTCTTAAGAATATTATCTATTTTTGTTTAGTTTTTATATTACTATATACATTAAATGCAGTATTATTGGAATTTGTCCACTTACATCAAATATTAATTATATTACTGTAGCATTATTCTAGTAGTTTTTATCTAAAATTGAATTAAAGTTTTTGAAGGAATTTTTTTGGAATTCAAATAGTATTTAAGAATGTAAATATTAGTATAATTGAATATATTTAATTATTACAACTTCATATTTTTAAATAAATATTAAAACATGTTTCCTAATATATTGTAAAAAAATTATAATTATTATTTAAGTTGATACTTACTTTTTTCTTCTCTATTAATTGTTATGTTACAGTGATAATCAATAATTATGGCATAAATGATAAAATAGTTTGATGAATGTGATACTGAAAAATCCTAAAATCTTTTCAATATTATGCATCTACCACATATTTGCAGGATTAAAATTGGAAATTCCTAGTAAATAGACTACTGAGGTATATAATGATATACCTACATATAATTTTATCAGAACTCAGGGATTAGTTTGACTAAAATATATACCACCTCTAATCTAATACAATGAAACTATTGATTTTTAATGTTGTTTTACAGCTGAATGTTTTACAAAAATGTTTCCAGCGCTCACTGCGCGTACAGCATATGAAGTGTTTTACACACGAATAGGTCAACGTGCTCTGTCAGTCGCCAACTATTGGTATGATCCTCGGCATCGAGATCTATACCTTAAATACAGTGTGTATTTAGCAGTTATTGATAATGTCAAAGAAGAAATTTCCAAAAGTGATTGTCAACAAAATACCGGTAATAAGATTCTACTAATTCAACAAATTATCTGATATGAGAGTTGTAATAGAGAGGTTAAAAAGAGTGCTCTGGAGACCAGAAAAAATTACTTTTTTTCATGTAATTGATAACTTATTAAATAAATAAAGTATTTTAAATAATCAATCAAAAACAGAGCAATTTATGTTTTGATGATAAATAAAAGTTCATAAGTATTAAAATAGGTAATGCAACAATTAATTATAATTTTGTTTATTTTTTAATAATTATAAAAACTAATATAGCTAATATAATCAATTAATATTTATTGTATTTATACCATTGTTCAATATTAATAAATAGGGCATGGATTTTTATGTGATAAAGATGTCAAAATATATAAATATTCTTATTTTTGCCAAAATATGTATTAAAAAACTTTTATTAATAATGTTAATAAACATTTAACAAAAATATCGGTATTTTACATTAATTTTTAATTATTAATTACTAATTATTCATCTAAACATCTCTATTGTCTTCTTCGAAAAAATTGGGTACAACATACATTTGGAAATTTTAAAATTTGAATGTACGGCTGTTAAGTTTCAAAGTCGACTTGTAGCAGCTGAAGGTGATGTAACGTCGACCTAGGTTAATGGGGCATATTTCATACTAGATGTCGGATGGTGTTAGTACAATATAATTTAACACTTTTTCATTTTCATTCATTAGAATATCTTTAATAGTTTTAATTTTTTGTTAACCAACGTTATTACCAATTACATAGTTTAATTAATTTTTTATTATAAGTCTGGATTCTCCTTGAAATTCATTTAATTTGTTTTCTGCATTTTTCACTTTTGAAAACCTCAATTATTTTTAGATTTGATGTTTCTAATTTTTTTTTTTTACCAGTAAACAAAAAAAATGTGGAAATATATGCTAAATAATTTTTCAGGTCATTGTTTTGCATAATATTAGTAGCTTGTGTAATAGCAATTGCAGTATCTAAATCAACATTTAAAATAACTTCTTTTATTTTTTTTTAATTTAATTCCAATATAATAATTTGAATAGAAATAAAGACTATATAGGTATGAAAATTTTTAAATATTTACAAAATATGTGAAAGTATGTAAAATAAAAGTCACATTTTATTCAGGGTGTTATGAAATATGCTTACTCTTATTCAGAATTGAGAAATTCGCATTCAATAAAATTATGTATATACTTAAAATCCGCGCCCTATAATAAAATTAAAGGTATGTTATCCCTAAATCATGAATTTTGATAATCTTGTTCTGAAACTTCTATTACTATTATTTCAGAAATCAATGATGAAACAGTAGAAGAAATAGAAAAGCGTGTTGCTGCTACATTAGCTGAAGTCTCTGCTGCCACTTTGAAAGTAGCCGAAGGTCATAATGAAGAAGACAATCATATAAATAATGTTACTACAGCTGATGCTGATGTAGCGGATGTTTCAACTAATGATACTAATAAGGATGGCAATAATACGGATGGTGACTTGAATAGTAATGCTGGTACAAGGAAACTGGGACTTATACGTCTTCAAAAATTGGTGCTTATTGGTGGACCAGACGATGGGGTTATATCGCCATGGCAATCAAGGTTTTTATTTATTAATAGTTACAATTTCAATCCGCTTTTAGTACAAATGCTTATTATACACTTAACCAGGGCCGGATCTAGGGGGGGGGGAGGAAGTCGGGGATTTATCCCCGGGCGCATAATTATCGTTGGCGTATTTTAAAGGTTTTAAATTTAAAATTAACTTTGAAACAAAAGTCATAACTACAAAATAATATTTTAATAGAAATTTGTAATAATGGTTATGCGAATAAAATAGTATTATTTTTATTTTTAATTTTAACAAGTAACAACAATATTATTTTAAAATGGACTAATAGGTACGTATTGCAGTGGAAATACTGGAAATACCCGTCTGCGACTGTCAGCGGGATTGACTGTCGCTGCAGATCTAAAATTAAATATTGTTCAAATAAGTGGGAAATTAAGGTATTGTTGAATTTAATTTTATTATCATTGTATTGTGATTCATCGATTCGTGTGTCCGCGTTAATGTGTTATATTAATAATATAGCCTGTATTAGTTTATAAAATCAGTTTATTTTATACATTTATGCTAAATTCAATTTTAATTTTGACACCGCTACAGTTAAAATACGTCAGTGCTCAGTCATTAGTACTCAGGTTAGTACAACAAAAATTAACGATATTACTAGTTTTAGTAATCTGTATGACGTAGACATGTAGTCAATCATTTTTTTGCTAAGAACATTTGTGAATATCTAGTAGGTATTTGTTTTGGAATTTTATTAAGTCCGCGAACCGCAAGTCAAACTTTTTTTGGAATTTTATTAGATTTTTCAATGTGTAGATTTACTCTCCAATAAGTGATATAATAAAGTAGGTATGGTAAATTACATTGTTTTCTTGCATATACATATATAATATAAATACATATTAATAAATTATATTGGTACATCTTTTTTATGAATTATGTTAATAGTTATTTAAAATTTAATCTTAAAAATGGCTTCATTAATTCATTAATTGTAATTCATTGTTATGTAATTTTTAATCAACAGTTATATACTTTTTAAATAGAACATAAAACGTTACTACTGATTAGTTGTTTTAGATTATTTATTAAATTAAATGTTTTTAGGTTTATAAAAATCTTTATATTTAACAATGCCTTTTTACAAACTGAACATTTTTATAAATATTACTTTAGCCACTAGATAAATGAAAAAAAACAAAATTAAGCATTGTTACAGATTACACCAAATACATTGTTATTTGTATTTACTATTTAAATACTATTTATTTTCTTAATAAACTTTATAGTACAAAAGTACAACATAATTAAAACAAAAATACTATCCTATTGATGTTTAGCTTAAGTCAGATCGGTTATTAATTATCATGTTTTATATATCAATCATATTATAATAAAATAATTTAAAAGGAAACTTAACACTTAATTGCATGTCTTTTTTTTATATTGAAAAAAAGTTTTTAACTAATTTAAGTTTGGTGAGTTTGTAAAAAATAGTTAAAAAATTCTAACTTGAAACACAACCTTGAAAAGTACAACTTTTAAGTCCATTGCACAAATGCAACTATATGCGCACAGTGCACCAACTGGAACATTTATTTTGAATTACCTAAATAAATATGAAAGTCAATTTTTAATATTTTCGCTAACTACAAATAAATAGTCCAAATTTTATTTTATTTTTTAAACTTTAAAACATTTTATATATAAAAACTAAAAACAAAAACATCATACTATATCATAGTATGTATAACAATTCAAAATCAAAAGTACCAGTCTTATGTTTTTAAATTTAATAATTTGGTAAATAACCACTGCATAAACAATGAATGTTAAAGAGAATAATATAATTAAAACCAGCCTTTTTAAATGTATATAATATTATAAGTGAAAAACAATTTTAAAACTAATCATTATGTATTAAAATAAAATAATAATATAAAAACCAATCTTTGGTATAATAATAATAAAAATGACCAAACTCCTGAAATCAGTCTAGATCCTAGATAATGTAGATCCGAATTATTCTCTTGTCCACTATAAATTTCCAAATTATATGCAAAACCAGAAACGCCTGCCATAATAAACAACTTATAGCCCCATTTATTAGGTTTCATAGGAATATATTGTTTTAAATAATGCCTAGATTTGGTAGAACATAATTGTTCATCTATTGATAAGCATTCTTCGAGAGGAACTAATTTAAATGTTTTATTCAATGATTCTAGAGCTGGCCTTATGCGATAAAGTCTATCATGTCCAGGTCTATTGAATGGAATAAGTTGACTATTATCAACAAAATGTAAAAATTGTTTTATTTTTTCAAACATATTGACAGGCATGATATTTTTAATAATATTATTACCTATATTTGATGACCAATAACTACGAATAGATGGATTTTTTTGAATAGACATCAGAATCAGAATTACTTAAAGAATACAATGGTATAACCTTAAACAACGTATCAGTAGTCATAAGGCCAGAATAATAAAAATTCAAAACGTTGCATAAATGCAACTATATGCATTTAAGGGTTAATTTATTTTATTTTTTATTTTTATTTATTCTTTGGCAAGATAATGGGTCCCATTGAACATATTTGTTTATTTTGTTTCTTAAATTCTAAGATTCATATAGATATTTTTGATAGGTGTACTTTCTCCTCTGTTTTGTTTAAGCTTTTTTGTTTAGTTTCATATATTTGATTTGGATAGTTTTTTTATTAAACTTCTTTCTTCATCTTATTTATTTTTAAAGCTCAAAATGTCAAAAAGACCAGGTTCCTATTTCCGAAATAAAAAGAAACAAAAAGAAGCAGAAGCTCAAGAACTAGCAGCACAATGGGAGAAATCTAAAAGTAAATGGTTCAACGTTAAAAACGAAATTGATTCATTAGAAGAAGATGGGGCTTCTGAAAATCAAAAAATAAATGAAAGTATTGAAATTGAAATTGATAGTGGTTGTAGTCAAGTTGAACGAACATCAAATACCAACGAATTGAGTTTTCAAAAAATACCTGTAGAGACTGTAGAGTTGGATGAAAATATTTTAGTTGATCATAATTTATCACATGGTATAGTTGAGAAACAATCATTTGTTGATGAAAAAATAAATGTGTTAAAACCTCCTGAAATAATATTTAATAATCCTCAATCGTGGCCAACTATAAATGACAAGTTAAGATGCATACTTGTTCAACATGGCCCAGATCGTGGAAAAATGGAACATAAGCCTTTTAAAAACCATTGGTTTTACAAAAAATTACCTAATGGAGAAAGTGTTGAAAGATCATGGATGATGTATTCTCAACCAAATGACGCAATTTTTTGCTTTTGTTGTCTATTATTTGGTAACCAATTTACTGCTTTAAGTGATCCCAAAATAGGTTTTTCGTGTTGGAAAAAAATGGAGCGCTTAAAAGAACATGAAGATTCTCAAGATCACATAAAACATTTTTTAAAATGGAAAATGCTTGAAAATAAAGTAATGAAAGGAGGGGGTATTGATGACTCCTTACAGAAAGAAATAAAATCAGAACAAGAAAAGTGGCGACATGTTTTAAAAATAATATTAGATGTGTTACTTTATTGTGTAAATAATAATCTAGCCTTAAGAGGAAATTCTGAAGAAATAGGTAATCCAGCAGCGGGACATTTTTTAAATCTCATTAGCTTAATAAGTAAATCTGATGGAGTATTAAGGCAACATATTGAATCCCATAGGAAAGGCTCTGTATCTTATTTTTCTCATCACATTCAAGATGAATTTATTTCTTTATTATCTAAAAAGGTCAGAGAAAAAATAATAAATCAAATCAAGTCTGCAAAATATTTTACTATTATGTTCGATAGCACACCTGATGTTTCCAAAAAGGAACAAATGAGTCAAATTATCCGATATGTACATATTTCTAATGGAAAAGTTTGTATAGAAGAAAGTTTTTTAGGATTTATTTTATCACATGAAAAAACTGGAAAAGGCTTAGCAAGTGAAATATTAACTCAGTTTTCTGATGATGATTTAAATATACAAAACTGCAGAGGCCAAGCTTACGATAATGGAGCAAATATGGCAGGGAAATATAATGGTGTGCAATCAAAAATTATGGAAAAAAATAGTTTGGCTACTTTCGTACCATGTACTGCTCATTGTTTAAATTTGGCTGGTGTCAACGCTGCATCATCAAATGTTCAAATGAAATACTTTTTTGGCAAGATTCAACAATTATTCAATTTTTTTTCGGGTTCACCTTCTCGTTGGGAAGAATTGAAATCATTGAAACTCACACTTAAACCATTTTCTGATACAAGATGGTCTTCTAAATCTGTAGCTATAAAAGCGATTTTTACACAACTACCTGAAGTAAAAAAATGCCCTTAATAATATGATATGATTGGAAAAGGTAATGCTGAATCAATATTTTTGGCTAAAAGCTTACTATTATACATTGACTATGAATTTATTTGCTTGTTATCTATTTGGAATGCTATTCTTTCAAGCATTGATCGCGTTAATGTTTGTCTACAATCGAAATCATTAACAATAAATAAAGCTGCAAATCTAATTAAAGGATTAATTAATGAAATCACCGATTTGTGAAATAACAGACTTGAAACATTATTTCAAAGTGCTGAAGAAAACTAAAAAAATGGGTATTGCAACTGTTTTTCCTCAAAAAAGAATAAAACGAATAAAACTATTGGATTTTGAAGAATCTACAGACGACTGGAATGCGACTTCAAAAACAACTTGTATTATTAATTTAAAAAATGTTTGTGATGTATTAACTATGAATATGAACTGGAGATTTGAAAAGCTTAATCAAGTATCTTCTGACTTTGGATTTTTCAATGGAGCTGACCTCGTTGAAAGAGATTCAAATTATTTAATTAAAGCTGCTGCTGACCTAGCCATAAAATATGATAACGATTTAAAACCTTCAGACTTTACTTCGGAAATTATTAACTTTAAAAACCTTGCATTAGGTATGTTACCTGACCTTAAAAATCAAACTCCATTAAACATTCTGCAGTTAATACACGAGTACTCAATGACTAACATATTCCCAAATATTTGTATTGCTATTCGTTTGTATCTAACATTGCTCTGTACAACCGCATCGTGTGAACGTTGTTTTAGTAAACTCAAATTAATAAAAACGTATTTACGATCCACGATGAACCAAAACAGACTCACTAACTTGTCACTTCTGTCAATCGAAAAAGAGATCACAAAGACAGTTGATTTTGATTCAGTTATTGATAATTTTTCTGCAATCAAAGCCAGAAAAATAAAGTTTTAAATATTAAGTTTAACATTTTGTAAATTTGGAAAATTTAGAATAATATATTTTAGTATATTATACATTTAATACATAAGTTATAGGTAATCATTATACTATTTTAATTTTCAGTACTTAGTTATATTTTTCTTTAATTGTAGTTTTTCCTTACCTAAGTAGATACATAATATGTAGACATGTAGTAATTATAAAGTTTTGAGTGTAACCATAACAAAAATTGAAAATATATAAATATTGTTTCATGTTAAAACTTAAAAGTAAGCAATAAATAATTTAGATTTGTTAATAAATAATTTATAAATATTATTATTACAAATATTATTTTTTCTAAACCTGAAACTTAGAAATATTAACCAGGGCTTCTAAAAATATTACATGATTAATTGATTATATAAAAACTAATTTTTTTTGATTTTTAAGCTAAAATTGTTCAAATAATTTTTGATAAATAATTTATTGGTCCAGTGTATTACAAACGGCTTTATAAATGGTTGGTGCTCACGCTACTGTGAGTATGCTTGATTTTTCATAAAAAAAAAAAAAAAAATGATTCTGGTCATTTTTCTGAAATTTCTTGAAAAGGGCGTATATTTTTAATTTTCCCTGGGTGTTAAAAAGTTAAGATCCGGCCCTGCACTTAACCAATATTTTACTAACCCAATATTTTAACCTATTAAATATTATACAATATCATATTTAACTTAAAAAAATAAAATAAATTATGAGAAGAGGAATGGCTTAAAGAATCTGACCTAGATTCAATTAGTATTGTATAATATATTAAAACTCTTTAATTAATAAATTATAATAAATATTGCTAGCACAAACCAAACTCCACATGTAATTAAACACATTATTTGTATTCATAAATATGTCATAAAATTAAAAATGATTCTCTATTCACCGTTTTTCTTATCATCCACTATGTGGTTAGCACAAGTGTAAATTACTAATTTTAACTTTTCTAAAATGATTTTTTTTTTTTATTAAAAATTTCATGGTTTTATAAAAAATGTGTTGCGTTGAGAGTTAAGTTAATTTGTATCAACCCTAAAAGTCTTGGTTTTATTTTAAGCTATTATTTTGTATTTTTTACTCATTATTTTATGTTTTTGTTTCAGTCAATTTGCTATATTGGATAGCAATGGTGAATTGGTACCAATGCGAGATCGACGACAAAATGACATATATAGTGATGAAGACCCAATAGGACTACGAGAGCTTGACTTGACCAACCGGTTGATAGAATATACAGTACCAGGAGTTGGTCACCATGAATGGCATTGCAATGAAAAAATATTACAAGAGTGTATAATTAATTGGTTAGATTAACACATAAACAAGTACAGTGTTGACTAGTAAAATATTAATCAACCACAGTAATAACGGATTTTATAATAATCATTATTTTTGGTGGAATATTTTTGTAAACATGTGTAACGGTTACTGAAGTATTTAGTATACAATCTTCCAAAATAAGTTCTAAAAACCAATGTGTCTATCACTTCAATTTTTTTTTTTTTATTAAATTATACAATATATAAATACTAGTAGACTGAACATATAAAATGATTCATAAAATAAAATGTATTCTATAAAATAATAAGAATTATTATTGGCTAAGGAATTAAAATTTTCAATAAGTAAATATACATAACAAAGGTAAATGGCCCATCACCACTGAGAATAACTTGTTATCAGTGATGGAGTATAATTAAGAAATAAGTATAAATTTTAAAAAACTATTGTAACAATTGTTACATCACATGTATTGGTTATCATATTTTATTATATATTATTATGATGTTATTAATACTAAAAATATACTGTAAAATCTGAAAATTTTTCTAGATTGTAAAATATTTATGTATCTTCTTCAGTGATATGTTGATATTGCTTGGTAATGTTAATTTAATATTATAAAATTATTTTATTAAATCTTGTACTTACTATGGTTGGGTGGATCTTAACACTTAGTAATATTCCAACCAACACATTTACCCTTATCATTTTTATTATAATAATTTAATTAAAATAATTAATTTTTTAACTCAATACTAAAGTATAATATATTTGTTACAGTTATTAATTTCTTTAATTCCTAAGCTAAATATCTTAGTCGCTACATGTTTGTTATGTTTTTTATAATGAAAACCCTTGAGTTTTCTTTATTTGTTTTACCTTATTCTTCCCTAATTTACTTATTAAAAAGGTAATATTTTTAATACATTCTTAATTACATAACAGGTACTTATGGTTGAAGTTGTGTAAGTAAATACTACAAAATAGTGTGTCATAGAATTATAGATGGTGCAATGTTCTGATTTTGATATAGGTTGAAGTTTTTTATTGTAATTTTTTCTTTGTTTTTTTTAATTATTCAATTAAAAATCTTAAATAATTAAGAAAAATACTTCCCAATCCAGAACAAAGTATTAGTTGGACACCAAAACTTATATTTTACTCATATGCCTTTTGCTTAATCTATAATTATGTAGAAAAACGTAAATTCAGTAACCAATAAAAATAAAAATAACGTTTATGAGCATGGGCGTAGTGAGGAGGAGGCACTTCCCCCCTGCGCCTTAAATTGTATTCTATTTGTTTATACCAAATGTGTAAGTTAAAAATTAAAATTAAAAATTAAATAAGATATAAGTCTAAAAATAGTTTAGTGGGACCGAGTGTTATCTACACATGTAATCGTTTTGTCGTTTTATGTGTTATCCAATGGTCTATCTGCAGATTATTTGAATTACGAGTTAAACACTAATCGCTTTATGTTTTTGCCCCCCCCCCCACCCCCGATTCAAATCTTAGCTATACCCATGTTTATGAGCAATTGAAATTTGTTATATAACTGCTCATACCGTGTACGCCATGTTATTCTCGTATAGGCAACAAAATGGATCCGACCATGCTTTGCCTTATTTTATGTGAATAGGCAATTCTTTTCATGTCAACGTTGAAAATGGTAACGATATGAAGTAAGGTCAAGGTAAGCTTTTGGAGAGGAAACGAGTTAGAATATACAGGAACGAGGATAATACAAGTTTTTATAAATTACTGAGGTATTTCTGTGCTTAGATTCGGTTCGGTGCAATGACCACAGAACTTACACAAAATCGGACAAAAATATACTAAACTTAAACCTATGGGTTCATACTGTGCCTCCATCAAAATATGTTCGGATAAAAAAAAAAAATCAAACGGTCTGTACTCAGTACCGACAGTACCAGTAGAGCAGTTTTGGGTGTAATCGATTAGTTAACGATTAAATTACGTAATCGATTACAATTAATTTATTGAATTATATTGGTTATTAATCGTTTAATAATTTTTTAAGGTAATCAGTAATCATGATTATATTAGTGTTAATCATTATCGTCAAAAATATCAAATGACTACAATTTTGTATTAGGTAATATATTATACTCGAATATTATTAAAATTAGGGATTTACGAAATGTTATATTATATTATTATATTATGTTACATTTTAGAGCCACTAATTACCGACCGATAGCTACATTTATTTTGTACCTATGTTCCTATTACTCTTGTATTAAAATCAAATATATTATTATAAAAATCTTATGGTTTTTACATTATTTTTTTTATACTTATATTGCCATTATTCAATCATCATTACAGAGATATCAATTTTTCTAAATTTATTTGATTGATTATAATAAAATTAATGTAATTATTATATTCACTTTTAATTTCTTATTGAAAAATAATACTTTTTTTTATTGTTAATCATTATTTTTTCCATAACATTTAATAATTACGTATATTATAGTTTAATTTACTCTTTATTTATTTATTTTTTCAATATCCTATTTATTGTTCATAAGTCTAGTACATAAAAAATACACTACATTGGTCAATAAACTATATATTTTTAAAATTTTTATCTCAAAATATATTTTTATCTCATAAATAGCTATTATTCAGCTTTAAACCGTTATTGAAATATCATTAATCATTAAGATTTGTCATGATCGAAAATTAACATATTTTGTAATCGTATTAAACACTATGATTACATTATTATTATACTTTAGTAATTTAAAATAATTTGATATTGTGATTATTGATTACATTTAATTACCTTATAGTTAATAACTAAAAATTGTAATTGTAATATTTAATCATTAATCAAATTACGATTTTTACCCAACACTGCAGTAGAGTAGAGCACAGTAGTATAATGTAAGTGTTTTTATGTTAGCTTTAAATGTATTTTTATTGTTTTGCCACACCAATGTTTAAACTTTTTGGTCTTAATTGAAAAAGATTCCTATCAGTGCGAGTTTTTAATAAACAAATTTATATTTCTCCATGTTTTTAACAAAAAAAAATAAAAAATAAGTTTCACGATTTAAAAATTTGTTATAGTCCCCATGGCCACCAAAGTCTAAACGGCTATGTTAAAATCATGTGATGAAAATGGTAAAATTGTTAGATACTACAATTTTACCGATAGTTGAATCAGAGCCTTAACTATGGCGGGGCGAGTGAGGCACTTGGCCTGGAGGTCGCAAAAATATTAAATAATTAACTCATTTTAAGAAATATTATTTTTTGTTTTGCTAGAAACCTAATTATAATTTTTCAGATTTTTCCGAATTGTATTATACATATTAAAAGCTGTGAATGTGACAACCCTACAACCTAGGGAGCGCAATGCTTCAGTTCAGCCTCAGGATAAAAAATGTCTCGGTATGGCTCTGAATTGAATTCCGAAAGTCTGAGCGACCTCGCAACTAAGCACTCCTTTATATTCAGCACGGGTGATTGCAGTGATTAGGTGTGGCCCCACTGAGAGCGATTTACGTTTTTGCGTTAGCGCTGTTTTGCATTTTAACAATAGTAGGTACGTAATTCATATCTGTTAGCCCCATTGGGTCTGTGTCGCGAGTGGATGTAGTGGTACACACGCGACAATCGCTGAGAACAAAACAGTTCGATATTCTGCAATTAATCGCTGTTAAAATGTTTTCCGCGTTAGTTCTGCGTCGTCTCCGTATGGGAAGGTATTGAAATCCTAGACGCCCGAACCAAAACAATTTGGTCCATAATCCAAAAATGTTGGGCAAACATAGAAAAGGATTTTCACACGAACGGTAATTTAATTCGTTAACTTATACATATTCAAGTTTATTGATTCTCAGATGTCTTCACTAAGGTATTACTCTCGATAAAATAAAATATTTGTTCAAAAATTGAAGCAGAACTTCCAGCAGGTTCGTATCACCAGCACGACTATTTTTGAAAAATGTTGTACAGTCAAAATAAAATTTCGTACACCCACTCAAACCCAAGAAAATTCGATTTTTCTATGGTCGTCACATTTTATATTGTGCCTACTACCTATATAGCCACAATGCTGTACAGTTATATCGAATTACTAAAATAATGTAACATAAGTTAATAATAAATTTTTAATAAGTATCAATAAACTGAGTTTTACTTTCCCCGCACTATACCTCATAATAGTAAATGGTCGACTAAATGTAAATGAAAATAATTAAAAATACAAAAACCCCAATTTCTGGTTAGTGCATGTAGCTTGTATTATTTGACTAGATGTTTTTTTTACACACAGTAATTTCCGAAAATTCAAATGAATATTATGTTTGACAGTCGATTAGTGTGATCCAAACTGAGGTTACTGTTTATGATATATACTTACTAACTTTTGCTATCTACTCAATTAATATCATAGTTTTGTTTTATTTTTATTAGATTATATAAGGTAAGTAAAATTTATGTATATCATAAGTTATTACGTTTCTTTTAATCTTATTATCTTACTTGTATACAGTATAATATACGTATTTTGTCAACTTAAAATAATATGTTCTATTAGAAATGGCGAATGAAATTAGAGGAAGGAAACCTAAAGCTATTAATGATATCATAGATAGTGAAATAATGAAATTAGAGATCAGATTGTCCTGGAAAATAATAGTTAAATAAGTTAAGTTAAATAGTTTTATGATTTTTATATATTTTATTTGGATATGTTTATTCTGGCGATTATTTTAATTAATTAATTAATTAATAATATATTATTATTTTTACATATTTTTCATTTTAAATAAAACAAAATACCTACTTAACGTAAACTAACCTCTTCTCTAGCACTACATCTACTTTTTCCAAAACTTATAATAAAAACTATATTATGTATATCACAACCCAAGAAAACATTAAAGCTACCAATTAAAGTAAGTATTGTAGTTGATTAATAAAAAATTAATTAAATACATATAAGTATTACATTGTATTAAATAATTTGTACATATACATCACAATGCTGCAATATCCACCAACAATACGATAAAGATAGATGCCTATAGTTACAAATAATAAATGTCAGAACAGAAATAATGCATAATATAATTGAATAGTTTGGAATTAAAATATTAAAAAGGTTATAATTTAGGTTAGTGAACGAGCTACATTTTCCAGTATATAACCAGAACGCGCATCGAAAAATTGGGTTTTTTGTGTTTTTTTTTTTTTGTGGGGGTACAAGATTTTGTATAATATGTCTAAGTATAAATATATATATTATGTCTCTTGTTTTTATTAATATAAATAAATAACTAGGTACCAATAAACGAATATAAAAATTAAAAAATATAATATTGTTATATTTTACAATTAAATACATCCTTTACATCCATATACTTCAAACTTTCACTTTAGGCGTATCTGCCATTTTTTTAAAAAATATCATAAATAATTAAATAATTGTATCACCTACTTATTATATTAATATATTTAAACATGGATTCATTAAAAAAAGAGTTTTAAATTAACATTTCAATTTTTTATTAATGTAATTAGGTACATCATCAATATACAAGTATATGGCGTGTCAATAAAATATCATGAAAAAAATTAACGCACGACTAAGTCTGTGGTAAGTATGTACCTATACAAGGCAGGTACCTACACCACGGCTATCTTATAGATAACAAAAGTTAACAATTATTAATTGTATAAGGGTACTTACTACTTAATAGATTATAATGGTAAAAGGTATTCTGTAATCCGTAACACTGACCTTATGAGAAAATTGTATTAACTAAATAAGTATTTTATAGATGATTGTATAATTATCAGGTTTGGGTAGGTGTACAAAATTTTGTTTTGGTTGTACAAAGTTGTACAAAAAAAATTACACAATACTGTATAATTTAAATCTAAATTTTACAATAATTGGTCAATGGCCATGCTAGGGATATGCATCTCCAGCACGGCCATAGAAAAATCGAGTTTTATCAGGTTTGGGAGGGTGTACAAAATTGTATAAAAAAAAAGTACAAAATACTGTCAAGGTTTAGTACATACTATTATTCAAAAGTGACCGTGTTGATGATATGAACCTACTTCTAGCCGAGAAAAAAAAAACTTCACGTATATACATCATCGTTCGAACGTACGACGTCGTTCAAGATTGTCCTGTGTCACGTGGAATTTTTCCATTTTGAACTCAAGTTCTACAGCGTTAGGGTCGGTGGCCGCCAGGATTTTCGCTTGCCTGTTGTTGTAGCCGTCCAGGTCGTGGACCACGAACTCATCCCCCTGCTCGGACCCGGTGGACATGGACTCACCGGCGACCGCTTCCTCACTCTCCTCCGCCGCTGCCGTCGTCGCATACAGCTGCAATGGACGGTCCGCTGTCCGACCGTCGCGGCGGCCAACGTTGTCTTGGGTCCATAACACCCTGTATAGCACTTCGTCCAGCCGCCGCTCGACCGGTATGAAGTACGCGACCAGTTCGTCCACACTGATCGGTGGCCGTCGGCCTCGTCCGGATGCGTTCGCGTCGTCTTCCCCGTCATTGGCGGCGGTGTCTCCCGCGATGAGACCGCGGTCCAGGGTGTCGCTCGCGTCCATCATCAGGTCACGCATTTCGTCCACTGCCCGGCACGTCCTCCGCCATTCGGCCGCCATCAGTCGCGATGCCCTACACGCCTCCCTCAACAGCGCGCGGCCGCTCTTGTACGCGCGCACCAGGCTTGCCAGCTGTTCCGTTTTCGCGGCCCGCATGTCGGACAGTACGCGCGCCCTGTCTACCACCGACGTGCGCGATCTTTCGATCGCGTTCTCAGCCTCCGTAACCTGCGTGCAACAACACCGCAGTGTTAGAAATAAAGTCACACGTTGAAACGCACTGCACCCAGGGCCGGATACCGGGAATTTCTCGGTATGCCCCGTGTTGGAGCCACTTTTACTCGTTGGTAAGTTTTTTTTTTTAGGTTTATTGGTTTAGGCTCATTGTTTCGACAAACATAGACGCATTTTATAATACGATTGTATTAGAAACTGGCTAAAATTAAATAAACGGTCTTTTAATTTTTAATAATAATATTTAGTGTTGAAATTTTCAACATAATATACAATCATTTTATATGAAAATAAACGTTTTTTTAGGGTCATTTTACACCATTTGATACATCTAATTGGGCTCCCCCCCTCCCTGTAAAAATTTCTGACCCAGTCCGGCCCTGACCGCACCCCTCTCCGATGGGCCCGAACAAGTTTCGCTAAGGTACGGTGTCAAAGCCGCGGCCACACTATTTTCACGCGATTCCTATGCACTGGTATCCAATGAGCGATTGTGGCTTTGCGAAAAGAATTGGCTGCTGCGACGCGCGGCACTACCCGATCAAAAGTAGTGTACAGTGACAGTCGCTAGCAGCTTTTGTATTTTATATTGTACTGTATTATATTTTAAATACCATGGCCGAATCGTAAAACTTTGCTAATGTGGTATTTTTGTCCGAACAAGAGGAAATATTAATTGAAGAAGTACGTAATAGTCTTGAACTTTATGATTTGTCAAAATCAAGCCACAACGACATAATTCTGAAGTATGATATGTGGAAAAATATTTCCATGAAAGTTTGAAGAACTGGTAAGTATTTTTATTTAGTTTAAATATTAAATTATTTTATTATCTACATTTAATGTTTACTGTATAAAATAGTTACAATAAAAAACAGTTAACATAAATGTAATAATTTATTAATGTTAACATAATTGACTAAATATGGGTAATTACTAGGCCTCGTATTTGTACGTATATAGTATATAGGTTATATAGTGTATAGGTACATTATATATACAAGTAAATACATATTTTTGCTATGATTGATAAATTAATTTACACTAGTGATAAATTAGTTTCAAGTGATTTTCAATAAAATTAGCATTATTTAGTTTTACATATTTTGTCAACAATTCTTGTTACTAATGTTAACAAATACCATTGATTATAAACTATGAAATATTTATAATCAATGCTAATACATATCTATATCAAATAATACAAACAAATTTTTATGAAATCTGAATAGTGGGAAAATGAATAAACCGTGAACACTACAAATTTTCTATTTGTGTGTATAGGCATGCTGAGTTATTTTCAGAAATAATTATAAATAATTGTAAAGAGAAATCTATAAATTATTCAAACAAAATTTCAATGTACTCGTATATATTTTAAATTATTTCATTGATTAAAATTATTAATTATATTAAATGACTGTAGATACAAGATATTTTTACTGAATTTTTGTTCAAATATATATTACTGTTAACATAGGTTTGCCAAATTGAATGGTTCATAGTATAAGATTAGAGATATTTCAAATAGGTGGTTTAAATAAAAATAAAATATGCCTAATTTCTATATATCTATACAATAGTAAAATTATTTATTTCAGTCAACGATTGCAAGAGGCGATGGAAAAATATAAAAGAAATAAAAGAAATTTAGGAACAAGAGAATGGATTTTGATAGATCGCTTATCATTTTTAAACTCCGTGGATAATGAGCGAAGGTAAATAGTTATTTTTAAAAACATGTTTTACTTAAACTAAAATTATTATTTTCAGTTGTAGGTATAGTCCTTTAAATATGCAACAATCATAGTTTCATTAATATTTTTAGTTCTACATCTAACATTGATACGCCACCAGATAACTAGGTGGAAGTGTTGGTATTGACGATAAGATTCATGTCGATGATCAAATAAAGACGACAATGTTGATTTACCAGAGTGCTCATTTGCGGGTAATCGTATTAAATCAAAAACGGATAAGCTGGTTGTAATATTAAAAAATAAAAAGGCACGATAGAAACATCATAATTGAAAGTATTCAGCGACAAAACGAAGAACTTTTAAATGCAAGGAAAAATGAAGAAGATGACACCGATTTATTTTTTAAAAGCATATCTATTAAAAGCTGTAAAAAAAATTACCGACAAAAGGCATTAATGAAGCTAAAATGAAATCACTTATGTTTATAAATAAACTTCAAGGAAAATATGCTATTTCTCCTTAAATAACTAAATCTAGTTTTTTTTCCTTTTCAAAAATCCCAACAAGTCAACAATATTAGTACGGAATTTCTAACCCACAAAACATATCGCCGATTTTATACTCCGATTCAGACCGTTCTTAAACTTCATCGTCTGCTATTTCAGCAATCAACCCAGAAACCACAATTTCATTGTTATTAACGATATACGTATCGACCATATTGAATACACCACACAGAATAAATAGGTCTTTACTGAATTAGTTCTAAAACTACACCATTTTTTTTTTACGAGCCGCAGTAGGCAAGTCGAACCAGTTAGTCGCAGAAATAGCCACAGCTTGGACACCGTACCTTTAGACCAAGGCTATATCTAGACATTTATTTTTTTGGGGGGGGGAGGTCCATAACATGTATATTGTAATTTTATTGAATTTAGATTTTGGCTTCTGATATTTGGTTAAAAATAAGACAGAAAAAGATTTAATCTCCTTTTATTAAAATATAATAAAATTAAATAAACAAAATTACTTTGATACTGAAGAAATTTGGGGGGGGGATTCCAGACACCTTGGACCTCCCTCTCCAGATACGACCTTGCTTTAGACTATCGTGTCCATGAAATCTTGATTTTTATTGAACAATTTTGTCCCTCGATTTTTATTGATTTCGTATAATTTTATCGTAATTTCGTCTCAACGAATTCTAACACGTAACAATTATTATCAACGTTAATCATGTTTGTTATTTGTTTGTTTTTTTAATCATGTCTTCGGTTGTCAACAAGACTACTTCAATCAGAAAAAAATGTTTTAAAAAATGTCTTAGTTAATTTTTAACTTATGAGATGTAGTAAAATTCCGTGATTATCTAGAGTCGTAAGTTTAATAATATAGGAGTAGAGAAACATTTTACAGTAAAAAATTATTGTATAATAATAATTTTATTTAAGATTTTATTTTTTTAAATTTTTGAACGAGAAAATCGAACAATTTCATTTTTAATAAATTTTGTTTAACGAATTTATTTTAATTTTTATTGGAATAAGATTTCGTTAAAAACTTGTGCAGTAGGTATAACCTATTATAATTATTATATTTACATTTGGATGCTGAAACAATGAACACAACTCGATGATTGGTTATTGTAGATTAATGTTACCAAGTTTACTTTAAAACAATAACGATACTCACGTGTAAATCAAGTGCTATTAAAAATTCAAACATGCTTTGGTTATCAAGGTCCATCTTTATAATTATTTCCATAACTTTTTCTAAATTTTGCTCGTCGGCGATGTAAATTAAATATTTAATAAATTCTTTCGCTTCAGCATTTAATGCAGACAATTTGGTATTCTGTTCAATAAATTTCTCAGGTTTTTTCGATTCTCTTTTTTTTTACTACACACGTGTGTATTAAATACATTAAATGCACATATATAAAGACATATTAAAGTAAATGTCTATATTACTAACAAACATTTTAATAAGAACAAGACAGAAAAATATGGAATAACAAAAGTTTGTTTTTTTTTTTTTTTAATAAAACGATATATACAAAAAACACTATAACTAAACACTAACTAGGTATAATTAAACACAAACTACTTACATTTTTCTAATAAATATTCAGTCATAGTAATTTCTTCATTCATTTGTCGCTTGAGAAGGGTTATATTTTCTTTTTTTTTTTCAAATTTAAGATTATTATTTTTTAAATGTATTTCCAGACGTTCTTTAGCATTATTTCTTGATCAAATATAAAAGTGAAATGAAAACTTATTTAATTATTGGATACTAAAAAATAAGTTTATAATTTATTTAAACCCTACATTTTTGATAATCGTTACACTATGTATGTAAATGGATAAAATAAGTATACATAAACAATTTTTCCTGCATTTAAGCATATGCTTGTATATTGTTCATCACATATATCATTAAATAAAATATTTATAACTTGATAAAAATTTATTACAAAAAATATGTTTATAAATTGAAAGATTTTTAGAATATAAAAATTATCATTAAATAATAATAGTTTTATTCAATTTCCTTATTTTTTTTTAGAATTATATGATATATTTTTATTCGATTGTAATAACACTTTTTTTGGTTGGTATTAATCAATTTAAAAAAGATAAAATTATAATCATATAATTACTCTATATATTTATATATTTATATGAATAAATAATGTAATTGATATATATTTTTATTTTTATAAATAAAAGTTGTTCTCTTTCTCAATTAAATTTTCACTCTTATGACGTACAAATAAAAATAAAAATAGAATTTACGCTCGGGCATAAATCTCCGGTCCCCCCCCCCCCCCATAGCTTTGATCCTAATTATGTAATTAATGAAAATAAGTTATTTTTAATATGTTATTAAGTTACTAGTGACACGTACCTTTGCTTTTGAATTTTCTTTACTTCTTCACTGAGAACAAATGATATTCGTTGTCCTTTATCCAATTTATACATAAGTGAATTGTAAGTCATTTTTACTTGTTGCAATCGTTTCAAAGCCGATTCAGCTTTTACTCTTAATTGATTCTGTTCATTGATCAATTTGTTATATTCGATATTCATATCCTGTAATACATTGAAAAGTATATGAATAAACATTACTAGAATAAATAAAAAAAATATTTACACCAAACACTATTTTTTTGACATTTCCCATTTTAATTCGGTTTTCGGGTTTATTTTGTCCAATTTCCAATCGGAGTATTTCTTTATCGATTTCCATTTCGATTTTTCTCTCTTCGTTAAACTCGATTTCGCTCTTTTTAATTTCCCGAATTAATTGTGCAAATTTTGCCTTGTACTTTTCACCATCCTTTACATTTTTGTTGCAAGTGATCGTTTTCAATTTGATCTCCAAGTTGTGGCGCTCTTCTTTCAACAACCTTATGGCCTTTCTGCCCACCACACAATACAACGTCATTAACTCTCAGGATCGAAATTAGGTACCTAAGTGGTGTGTTGATGTCCTCAGTGTTAGGTATAAATAATTTAATTTTAAATTATATTAATAGGTACATTTATTGTATTTTTTTTAACTATGTGAATGAGATAATAGATAAATTTAAATGAATTATTCTTAATAATAGATTCCTTCAAACAGTCGACTCTCGATAATTTTAAATTTTCGGTTATTCGAAATAATTTCTCGTTCTCTTAAATTGTCGTAGTAATTTGAGTGAAAATAATGCATTTAAATACACTTAGTTATAATATAATTCGTAGTAAAGTTTTAGGGAGAACTATCTGCCAACACGCTATAATTTGCAGTTCCATCCGTTCAACACTCGGTAATTCAAAATGTATTTACCAAATGTGTTTCTTGTAACCTCGGACACGGACGTTTCGGCGTGGCCGTTTTAATAAATATAATTTAATATAATAATATATAATTATAATATAAATATAATATAATATAATTATAAATCATAATTATTATTATTAAATGCATATTTATATCAAATTTAATATATTATGTTCAATAATTTATGACAACTTATATTTTGAGCTATGCCCTTTAAAAAAACTAATTATGGTTCTATTTTCATAATCGTTGACAATGGTAAAAATTCTTTTGTCGACATCACTAATTTTTTTCTTTTTTTTTTTTTTTGAGGACTCTTACCAGTTTGATGAATTGATGAAAAATGCAATATAGCTAATATATACACCATAAATCATGGTCCATGATACAATAATATACATAATTTTGTATAGTATAATTTATTTATTTTCATATATTTTAGTATTTCACTATTATAATAATACTATTATATTAATATTATAATATGTTCATACAGGTGGCATTAATTTTATTTAAATACACCAAAACCGTCATACGCCAAAATGATTTCACTCCAAAATGGTCTATGCCAAAAGGGCCACGCCAAAACGGCCACGCCAAGATGTCCTAGACCATCGTAACCTTATAGTTACATTACAATTGTATATAAACATAACTCATTATTATCTATACCTATTAAATTATTATCGTATTAAATACAATTAAATTCATAAATGTATCTAACTTAATCGTATCTAATCGTAGTTCAACTTGTCAAAAGTCGACTATAAACTTATTTAAGTTTCTTTTTGTCGGTTGCAAATTAAAGTTCTTTAGTAATGAGTGCACCCAATTGTAATAAATACACGTCTGATGATTTTGAAGAAAAAGCGATTGAAACTGAGGAAAAAGGTGACAAAAAAAAAAAAAAAAACTAGGTAGGAACAAAACAGTAAAATTGAACACAATGGGTTAGACCAACGTTTTCTAAACTGTAGTCCGTGGACCCTTAAGGGTCCGCACGTATACCGGAGGAGATCCGCAAACAAAAATTTAAAATATACAAAGTATTGTTATTTATTAATGTTTTTTAATTTTTATTTGTACTAAGGGGTCCGCAATCATTTTTATTATCTGTAAGGGGTCCGACAGAAAGTTAGACAATGCAGAAGGCAAAATTTGCCCGTGAGTGGCCTCTTACTAAAATCAAAATTAGAATCATTCACCGAAGGATTGAATATTGCCATTTTTCTCAGCTAATAATGTAAGGTAAAAAAAATTTAAAAAAAAAGATTTGGTATTTTTTTCAAAAAAAAATTTGTAGTAAATGTTTTAGCGTTGACGATAACGTGTGCACATAGTGACATCGTAAACTTTCAACTTAGTAAAAAATTATGAATCATGAACATAAGCAGAAAATTAATGAAATTTGTGAGGGGGCTGAGCATTATTTGATTATTACATCTATAGATACCACTGTGCGTAATTATTTATTTCAACAAGGCAATTTACGAAGTTTTACAATTTGACATTTTTAATCAACAATTTAAGCAAAAAAACAATTAGGTGCCTTATCTTAAACATTTTTGGAGTAGATATTCTAACCAGAAATTATTAATTAATTAAATCAAACAACCTATACGATTATTACTACATATTAATATTACATTAATTGCGATCGTTCCAAGTCATAACAAGAAGTTTGTTAAATCTTACGAATTTGATTTAATTTTTATCATAGAATATTTTTTTTTAATTCAGTTATTAAAAATGCATTTTACAATTATAATGATTATTGTATTTTTAGTCACTTGACAATTTTTAGGGCTAGGAGACTAAGACCTGTACTTCATATTTCTGGGAGGCTTAGTCCCCTCAACCCCCCTCCCGATTTCCGCCTATGATCATAAAACGTGTTCAACACAAGTTCCAGATGAGATCGTTTTGTTTTTCAAATGTTTACCGGATGTTGCTATATATACTCTTTGACGTCAAGATTTAGGACAATATATTAAGCATTGATGAAAACATTGAAAATGACATGGACCATTAGCTTCTTGTAATTTTGAATAAATCCAGTTCATCATTAGAATATTAACTTAACTTTTAGTTTCAGTCAAATTTGGTGTTGAAGTTTTTGAAACTTTATTTACTTTAGAAAGAAGTAATGAAAAAATTAAATTAAGTTCAATGGAGCAGAAAAAAATACAGATTTTTTTCGAAAATAATCGTCTTGATTTTAATTACAAGTATATATTATAAAATTTAATAGGTACACATGACGTATATATGTACATGAATACATTTTAGATATAATTAATATTATAATAATATATTATATAATATAAAAATATAGTACACATAAAGGCAAACATATTTTATATTTAAATTTTAAAAAACAATATATAGTGATAAATTATCACTATATATTATCACTGATAATACTACAAAATTTGATGAAACATTTAATTATTAAAATTTTTTTTTTTTTTGATAACTGAGTAATTAATTTTTTTTTGCTCTTTTAAGATTTAACTCAACAATTCGACTACTCTCAAATTACAAATTTTCTCAAGATGAATTAATAACAGAAATATAATTGTTAAAAGTAGATCAGACTGTACTAGTTGGAAATTCATCAATGACATTATGTGGGTGAATGTAGTGCATGCAAGAAAATGAAAAAAACAAAATATACACGGCTTTTAACGCAGTAATTCAAACATTTTCTGTAATGCCCGTGACAAGTTGCTCAGGTGAAAGAGTGATTTCTAAATCGACTCAAATGAAAACGAAATTAAGGTCAACTACTAAACAACATCGATTGATATATATATATCTATATATGTCGAACAGGAGTGATGGTCAATGTTGAAACTACTGAAGTTATAGAAAAATTCAAAAATATTGTACCATTTCAAAGGTGATTGTTATTATAAGTTACCTAATACAGTAAATTATTATAACAAATAAATTATATTAGTTTTGTTCAGTCTATTTATTAATAAATATAAAATAATAATCGTATAAATTAATATATTATAAAATTAAACAATAAATTATTGTAATCAATATTTACGTATTATATAGTAATATAACCTATATTGTATATAACCATATAGGTCAATATTATACAATTAAAAATAATATTGATTAGTAGACAAGTGTTAGATGCTTAAAATATTATAATTTTATTGTATTTTATATATCTACCGTCTTATTGAAGAAAATTATGAGCTAAAAAAAAATGCATAAAATAGGTTAATTTGTTTATAGCCTCTTCTCTATACTATAAAAAAATAACTACAAAAAAGGTAAGGCACGCTCAAATATAAAAACTTTGTGTACGCCTATGAAAATATAGACTGTATTCGTAGGTAATATGTAATAATAATAATAAAAAAAATATGTAATAGATAAATAATAAATTAATTAATTAATATGAGGCTATATGTAATATGAATTATTAATTGATAATTTATACATGATAACACGATAATCATGAAAATGTTTTAAATATTGATCAGTTTAAATAATAATAATTATTATTATAAGATCGTTTATTTCAATATTCAAAATATATTATCTAGATAATTGTAGTATTCATTTTTATCTAAAATACCTAGGTGAAATAAATCTAAGTAATACCTAACACTGAGTAACTATTTGCCACTTGATGGGAGGTTTTGCGAACAGCAATTTATGATAATGGCTATTTGATTGTTTATGATTATAATTTTTAAATCTTACACAAACCATAATACAGTAAACCAAACAATGCAGTATAATAAATGGACATTTTCTTTTCTTTTGAATTCAAGTGGGTAAACAAGAAAATTTCAAAATTACTCGAAATATTTATTAGCTATTCTAAAAATGCAATTGCCTTTTGTTTTTTTTTTTTTTTTGTGTCAATTGTCCATTGTCTTAAGACCATATGGTTTCCCCATTCTCTACTTTTAATAAATGTTGGTAATTTAAACTATTAAATGTACCTATAACATTTTTTCATTAATACCAACTAAAATTCAAATAAATAATAAAGCAAGAATTATTCTGAAAATATGCATAAATATTTTAACTAAATAGTATTTAAAGCAGTAGACTTAAGTATAATAATTATACTCAATATAACAATTATTGTCATTGATAAAAAATAATTTCACGAAACCTAATTTGCTATTTGATTATAATTCAAAATAACGTATGAACAACATTGATTATATTAAATATACTAAATGTGGTTATAAAAATTAATAAGCGTTATGATTCTTACTCTTGTCGATTGGCTGGATTAGCGTTGGTTCGCTGTTTTTTAATTTTATTTCTTTTGTTAATATAATCATACTTAAGTAAGTCAGCTTTAAGTATTTCACTGGTATTGTCTTCTTGGGGTATTATATTATTTACCATTATGTCATAGTGTTATAAAAAGAACAATGTACGCTATGAGAACTACAATGGTTTTTTTAAAAACATAAACTTCATATTTGTTTACATATACACTTTATATTGTTTACTTTTATTATAGTAACCAACCAATATTTGTTTCTCTCTCATAAATAGTTTACAGTTTACTAACAAATAGATTAAATTTTTACTCATTACAATATTTTTTTACCTTCTTTAATTCTGTATAAATTGCATTAACATTAAAATATGTATATTTTTTAAATATTTACCGTCATATAGATAAGGCACTACAGATGGCATTTAAATATTATTAAAATTATAATATATTATTACATAATATTAAGCAGCATATAGTTAAAGTGAAACTGAAATAAATGGTTAAAAATGTTTTTATTATACACACTCACACACACACACTTATGTGGTTCAGATAATAATTGAATCTAATAAAAATAAGATGATAAAATAATAAATGTTGTACATGCGACGAAAAATTGATTGTAGGACCGATTGGATTCAATCCGAGTAACAATTATAAAATATAATATTAAGTTCATTCGATATTCGACGAGTAATTTTTAATGGGTGACGACCAGTCTTGTAAAAAATACTTTTGAAAAAGTATTAAAATACTAATACTAGTATTCGAATAAAATAGTATTAAAAATACTTATAAAATACTATTATAAAAATGTATTTCATGAATACTCACTAAATATTTGAATACAAATACAAGTATTTTTTTTTAATTTTATATTATATAATATTATAGTTAACCATCCCCCCCCCAAAAAAAAAAATTGTGTCTATGCCACTGATTATATATCAGTTTAGGTACCTATATTATGATACTAATTACTATAGATTTAACAATTTGAAAAATACAAAACATGTCTGACTATTTAGAAGTCATGTTCACATATTTCATTCACATATTATATATATCTACTAGTATTAATACAATTAAATGACAAAAAAATAAATAAAAAATGGTGTTAACTATTAATATAGAACTATTTGAAAAAATTTCTTTAAAAATTACAATAATAAACCCATATAAAATTGGATGTAGCATTTTTTAAATTTTTAACATTGTTATATACTACTTTTTCTGATATACAATTTTTTTGTGTTTATAAATTGAATCTCATTAATATAATGCTTTCTTTTTATATAATTATATTATAATATAACCTAGATAATGAGATAAAAATTTATCTTTGATACTTTATATTCGTGAAATTAATAAACATGAAATTACATTTTTAGAGTTAAAACTTAAAGATTAAGCCGATAATATTATTATACATTTATACAGGTATGGTTAAAAATAGATTACTTTTTAGAAAATAAATATTACCAATTGTAATTACAATATAAATAATAACCATTGCATATTTTAATAAATTATTTACATTATTATTTATTGATATTTGTTACAACCTATAACAATTAATACTTATTAATATAAAATTAAGCAAAATAATATTTAAAAAAAAATATATGATAGCATTAAAACGATTTGAAATTTAACAGTTTTAAAATTAGTAATATTATAGTAATATCTTATTATTTTATTACTTATTAGATTCATCAATAATAACCGAATATTATTCTTAGAAGTAGGAACAATTATTAGGATAGAGAATTATTATGATTATACAATTATTAAAACGAACTTTGTGGTATTTAAATACAAGTATTTACAAATTGTTAAAAATACTTTTAAAAAGTATTCAAAATACTTAAAAAATACTTTAAAAAAATTGTATTTAGAATACCAAAAAATACTTCAAAAAGTATTTTAATACATGTATTCAAATACTTGTATTCGAATACTTTAGAAGACTGGTGACGACCCAATGTGATTGCGTCCGACTACGTCTGAGTAGGCAATTTAATGGTATTGCTCCTTCAGCGATTATTGAAAGAGAAATGGAAGTAGTTAATTTACACATGGAAATAAGGAAATATAAGTTGATTAACGGCAAGAGAGGCCCTTATAGTCAATCGGGACCTGTACAATGACTCACAGGGTTAACAGAATTCGAATAGGCTTTAATAAAAACAGTCAAAGTAAAACTTAACGACGAACGATTGGATAACATCACATCGTTAACAATTATGACTGATGACCCTCGCTGGTGACAAAAACGACCAAATGAATCGAACATGACAAATATAATACGGGTCGGTTGATGATCACGGGACTCGCAGGAACGGATGAATAACTTATGAAACATAGAGTGGTAGATAAATAATAGTTGCCGGTATCACGGTAATTTAGTAAATAATTGTTGTTTATTGTTGGATGGTAATAATAATATAAGTAATAGTACAAAGTACTCAAATATAATGGAATGACACGATGATAAAAAAAAAGACTGACGATGAACCGGCACGTTAGAATAGGATCCATAAACGATATTTTGTCCGAGTTGCGTCTGTGATTTTCTCACGACATGTACGAGTTTCGTCCTGAATAGAATTATTGATATACATGTATTTTTATATTTTTGTATATCAGTCTTTATAACTTACAATACATCAATTAATAATAATAATATTAGGTACATAAGAATCAATAATGAAAGATAATTCTATCAATATATTAAATATTCATTTTAAGTAAATGTAAAAAGCAAGTAATTTTATTTTTAAAATTCTTATTATTTACTCTATATCTATTTTTTAACTATTAGTTTCTAACTAATAATATTTTATAATTTATAAAACTTAAAAAATCCGTACACATATTTTTCTTTATGTTCGTTTTTCTGTTACCTTTTTCGTGTAACGCTCGATACCCATTATATTATTAAAAGGAGAGGCGATTTTTATGACAGTCATATCTTAACTTCTACTGGACCGATTAGCTTAATTTTTTATTTAAACGTAATTAGTTTATGTGTAGAAGAGCCATCTAAAGAAAAAAGTTCAACAATTTATTATAGTTAATAGTTATTAGAAATATTAAATTTTCCGTGTATGCGATATCGGTATTTCGGCGCGGCATAGCAGCACGAAACAGCAAGACGAAGTGGGAAGTTCGAGCGGCCACATTATCGTCAGGCTGCTGCTGTACTCCGAACCTCACCCACCGTTAGATAACCACTTATCGCATGATTCGGCTGGACAATGATAGAACGGTGGCTTAGAATGCGTTCTCTTTTGCACAAATATAATTCTTAAACATTTTCTGTACTATCCTACAAATAATATGAAAGCACGTGTTTTAAATGTAGAATATTTACTTCAAATTATTCATGATAGATTTATATTTCTAAGCTCATATATATTCACATCTTTCGAGGGTCATCCGTGACACTTTCCGGTTATTTTAATTTATTATATTTAATTTTTTTAAAATTATTTATTAATAAGTTAAATTCTTACGTCTTAGTGCTAACAGTTCCGATATCATTAATTGTTTGTATTTATTATTCTTTACTTAACGGTGTTTCCTTCAACTTTGTAATGTAATATTTTGGTAACATCTTATAAAATAATGATTTTATATATTAGTTAATTCTGTTTATTACTCAGTTTCTACAGAGCAACTGATATAAGAGAAAGTTTAGATAAAATTATCATTTATACTGATTAATTTTATATAAATTTATAAAATTGATCTAAAATTCGAATATACCACAATTTGGATAAAATGAATTTAATCGGCTTCATGAAAAAATCGAATGGTTGACCATACAGTATAAAAAAAATGTCTGTTTTACTGAATGGATGCATTTCATTTAGTGAATGTTCACTTCATAAAATCAGCGATTTCACTAAGTGGATGCAATAGTTATAAACTTGTTTAAAAATTACTCTATTGCTTAGAATAGGTACTTCCCAATTTTCGAATTATAATCATCAACTGTACAAAAAAAAAAAAAAAAAAATTAAAAATTATATTTTTCATTTACATCAATTAAGATAGGTACACGCAATTGCGATGGTACTTTATTTTTCGATCGGTTGAAATTCGAATGGTTTGTAATTTTTAAATTTGAATAATTTGTTGATACACCCAAAACAAGCACTTTAAAATCTTTGACTTGAAATCATGGCGTTGACGGATGAATTTATTTCGTACACCGCTACATTTTGTAACGAGTAACAAAACCGTGCAAACGTTATAAATCCTGAACCCCGAATATTGTCGTCGACGACGGCCGTCCGTCCAACGAGAACGCACATTGCCGAGCGCGTGTAAATAAATCGAGTGAAGCCAAACAATGTCCATTGTCAAGTGTACTCGCGGAGGCATTAGCCGCCCATACACAAACAGTTTAACTAACCTAACCAACATATCTAGTCGTTACATTCCAAGGGAACGGGATAATTCGGGAGATCTGGAATATGGTTATCAACAGTTAGAGGTGGATCTAGGAATATTAACGCTCTATCATAGACCAATAAACATGTTTTGTATTTTTTCCGATTCAAGTGTTGTTGCAAGCACCGAGTACCTAGTACAAGAGTGGCAAATGATTATATTGTGTCGTGATAATAACGACAATATACCGCGTATTATGATTTTGCAACGATTTTTGCATGTTCATAATATATTTTTTACGTATTAAGAAAGCTTTTAATTCTATAAATCATAAAAAATTGCTAGATAAATTATCCTTTTGTGGTATTATATGAGTTGCATAGTGATTAATTAAGTCTTACATAAAAAATTGACCATATAGAGTAAAAATTGATAGTAATTGTAGTAATAAACTTAAAATTTATTACAGTAAAACAAATTACTGTACTTGGACTATTGTTATTCATTATATACAATAACAAACTTTTTAACCAAGATACTACTGGAAAAATAATATATTATACTAATAGTGATGCAGTCATCTTATTAAAAAGCTAGTACGTTATTGTCTTATATAAAAAGACTGAAGAAAATTTTTCCATTGTTAAAAACTGGTTAGACTAAAAATTAACATAGAAAAAAACTAATTAAATTCATTAAGTATTAAAAAAGCTTTGCATTT